TTTTGAGAAATCAAACTAGATTCCAATTTGAACGTCGATAAATTTTCCATGCGAGTTATATGAGAATAAAAAAAGATATAAGAGAGAAGAGAAAATTCTTTAGCGGACCTAGGAAAAGGAAAGAACCGCTACGAAAGCGAGACGGCGTAATTAACGCAACTTTGAAGTCACATCGGCAGCGAAGCAAAGAGATGTCGTAATTATAAAATTACAAATGCAATTGTCGGCCATCCCTCTTCGCTCCCTGAAAATATTCCGTTAATCGTTCGATACAATAAAAGGCAAATATTTATGATATAAATACAAGAAGTTACGCCGTGTGTCAGAATTACCATTTGCAGCGTGCTACCGATAAAGTAGCGTTGAAAAACGTCCATAACATCGAAACATCAAAAGAGCCGGGATTACGTCGCTTTTACTTACAACGCATATCGGTGTAATTAAAATTATACCCAACATATCCTCTCTGAAACGGCGTCGTTGAGCGAAGATACCGGATGTTTGAAAAAAGAAGAAAAAGCCCACTCTGATCCCGACTTAGTTGCTGCCGCGAACTTTAATCAGAATGATGGCGCTCGCGGTGACCGGTGCGGGTCCTTAATTCCGCGGCGTGTTCGTTGTAACGTACCTTTTTTCCAGAGCGAGAGCGAGCGCGCGTTTTGCCGTCGCGTTACCGTCGCGTAATCCCCGTGACGGCAGTCAAAGCCGCGAATACAAAATAGGGAACGTGAAGTTAACGCGAAGGGGAAAAAGTTTTCCGAGATAAAAATCACAGGCGGCGACGCTTTCCCGCCGTGTCGCGCGTCGTCGCTCCGAACGACGAAACCGACGATCCATGGATTTCCGCCGGCGGGCCCTTCCTCTCTCCCGCGGGAGGAAACGCCACGGAAATTCTCCCGTTCGCCTTCTTTTTCTACTCTTTTTCCCGAAAACGTCGCGGAAAACGTATCACGACGCGGTGTTCTGCAACATCGCGTCACATCGTGTCGCTTCGCCCGCGGACGACTCGGAAAATCGACAGATAGACCGACAGTCTCCGCTGCTGTTCCATATTCCACGCGCCCGGACGTGCGTAGCACAGTGGATTTTTTTTTCCATCAAACGCCCTGGGCACGACAGACGACCGTGTAGTCCTGGAAATGCCGAAGTTTGCGCGAGCTTGACGAGGAGCGAAATTTGAAAACGGGCCGAAACAAAAGCGGGAAAAACAAATCTCGTGAAAAGACGGAGGAACAAAAGACCGGGGGCGAAACGAGAGGAACAATGACGCCCACGTCGCGCTAATTGGCGCGCGATTCATACATTCATTCCGAAAAAAAAAAACAACCGGAAGCGGAACCCTGGAACCGGAACGCATCGAATGCAATCGCGACATCGGGGCAAATATTCCGCGCGCTTCCTCTTAGCGCGTTTCAAAGCGGAAGCACTCTCTCGGTGTTCTCAAGCGAGCGCGAAACACCGCGGTGTAACGTGGTTGAAACGAAAGGAAAAAAAGAGGAGGCGAAATAATGTAAAAGTCACGCGCTCCCATCGATTTAGAATCGTAAAACATCGCGCGTATTGCGTATTTTTAATACCGCGCACGCGTTATTAGCCAGCGCGCTCGGAACGACCGAGATACGCAGAGAGGGCAATCTCTCTGTTTCAGCTTCAACGCAATCATAGTCAAAGGATGTCGCGGGCAACACGAATTGTATTTCAAAATTTAATATTCCTAAACGACTTGTGTGCGTGAGTGCGCACGCTTGTGTGTGTGTGTGTGTGTATCTAAAAAAGAAAAGGCAGAAAAGAGAAAATAAAAGAGCATAGATCGCGCGTCCCTCTCTCTCTTTGTCCTTCGTTCTCTCTAGACGGAAGTTACGAGTGCGCCGCTGTTTTCCTCGTGAAAACGGCTATTGGAAATTCTTTGTGCTCCTGAAAGCGGCGCGACGGGCGTTGTCAGTCGAGCGACTACAAAGTGCCGGATTGCGGGGGAGCTCAGACACGTCGAAAAATTCCCGCTTGCCAAAAGAGCCGTTGAAATTTCGACGCACCGTCGCGAGCGAGCGAGCGATCAGTGGCGTTGCGTCGTATCGCCTTTCGCCGTTGGGAGTACGTGCGCGCCTCTGTGAGCGTCTGCTTATGAATTTTCCAAAAAGGCGAGCACGAGACAAGGAGAGAGAACGAACGAGCGACTCGTGTTTGCGTACGTCCTCGCGCGAATCGATAAAACGTCCGACGGAAGATTTCCGCCTCGTCCCAGGCGAATTGTACCGCGAAGCGCCGCGTTCGAGTCTCTTTCTCGCGCGATCTATCGGGTTCAATGGGCGCGTATTATTCGATTTACAAACGCGTCACGCGGAACTTTATTAAAACGCCCGTCGGATCTCGTCGAGAGCTTCTCGTCTTGCACCCTCTCTTTCTCTTAACCTCTTCATCCTAATCAGAAATATGCTAATTTCTTCCAACGCTCCGTGATACTGAAAATCAAGCAATGCTTCCCCATTTTAACGCATGGGAAATTCAATTTCAATTTTCGACATAATCCAAATTTACACGTATCTTTGTGGCCGCTGAACATCGTCGTCATTACTACAACATTATTGTATTCATCGTTGATCGTTTCATCGTCATTGCTATCTTTGTATTATCATTATTATTATACACTCTATTATTATCATCAATTTACTTTGTTATCACTACATATTAATTTATCACTCCGCTATATTCATAATTGTAAAAATGTTCATTATTACTCTGCAAATTCACTGATGTAATTCCCAACTACATCCTCAAAGGACTTGCCCCAGGATAATAATAAACGTATTTCTCTGTCTCTCTCTCTCTCTCTCTCTAGCTTAAGAGCTGGCATGGCATCCATTTATTCTAACTTTAGATTATTAGAATTCTAGATATTTTACTGTATTGTCATCATTTCCAATAATTATACTATCATTTATACGAGTCTTCATATCCGTATGCCCGGACGTATTAGGTAGCTTTTAATCCGAAAGTATGGCAATCGAGCAATTTTCGTGTACTCTTGACTTACTCGCAACTCCAGAGGGTTATACCCTACCCCAGAGGTAAATAAACCCTTCTATTTTCTCCCTCCCTCCCCTCTCCCTCTCTTTCATTCTGTCTATTTTGTGCAGTCGAAAGTTCTTCCGAACGCGGCGCAGCGGGCACGCGTGAAAAAGGAAAAGAGGGAAAAAAAGGGACACTGCTTTCACGTCCGCGCGCGCGCACGATCGCGCTCTTACAAGGATATCTGGCAAATAGAGAACGTTATACAACCGCCGTGTTACACGTTAAACACAGCCGGCGGTTCCCCGATAGGATTCGAGGCGAAGATTCCGCTACGCCGTACGCGCGAGAGAAAGAGAGAGCCGTTTGAAAATTCTTAGCAGTGCATCCTGCGCGCAAATGCACGCGAAGCGCGGCGGCAGGGCGCGGTTCGGGAAAACCGCGCGCGCGCTTCTTACATGGGAATCGCATTCTCCGCGCGCGCGTTTAGAAAGCATACGGGCTGGAAATTAATCGACCCGCGAGACTGGCCGGCGCGTAGTTGAAAACGGAGAGAAGCGACCATTTCTCGAGTGTCTGAAGAGCGAAAATGTTCAAGGGTGTTTAAACCCCACGATTCCCGACGACAACGAGCGCGTGCGACCCGCGCGAGAAACGGAGGTCTCCAGCGGGGCGGAAGGAAAACTCGCCCACTGCCGTCGTGTTTTCGAAAGTGGAGCGTGTGTATTTTGCTTCCATATCCGGCGCGATTGTGAAGCGAAACTGCGTAAGAAGATTACGCAGCGGGGAAGCGCGATAGATGTAATTTTCATGTAATGTAACGCGGCGAAGTCCCGCGCGGAAACCGCGCCCGGGGCCCCGTCGATCGCGCGTGGATTTCCTGCAACGTTTGGCTGCTCGTTCACGGCCAGGTGGAGGGGGGGGGAACGGCGGCTGAAAGTCGTCGGAATTAATTGGGCGCGAAAATTTCTGTTGTCGTTAAAGTACAGGGAGGAACGCGCAATATATGTATACGACTCGCGCGCAAGTACGCACGACAATCGCGGTGAAAAAAGGTTCCTGCTTCGCACCGTCACTTTCCATTCAGCGAGGTCGGCGCGGAAACCGCGTCTGCGATAGATAGATTTAAGAAGGCCGTCTAAGAAGGCCTTTAATAAGTATTAAAAGGTATTAAATTCCGCGCACGCGGAAAGAAAGAGAGAGAAAGAGAGGCAGAGAGAGTTCACCGTCGATTTAACTTGCGGAGGGCCGCACAACTCGGAGAAACGGAATACATTTCCACGGTATTCGCCGGTAAAGTATGATTATTCGTAAGGCAAACTTCGCCGCAAAGAGTATCGGGCCGAGTTGAATATCGAGAGCTCGCGCTCCACCGCCCCCCACGGCATGATTTAATGTCGGTTATTTAAGAAGAATAAAGTTTCTTCGGAATTTCCGCCGGCACTGCCCCCCCCGCCCCCCCTGTACCGGGGAATATGGATATCGCGCGCATAAGCCTCATTCTAATCGCGTGCGGACTGGAAAGTATCCTCTTGTCGGGGTGCAGAATTTCTCTCCGGCTCCGCTCATAAATAAATCAGCGCGCACTCACGATGAGAAAGAAAGATTTTCCGTCGTACATTGGCGCGGATAAAGTTACCTACGTCGGAAAGTTACCGCGAGCCGACATTTCTCCCGCTGTGGAAAAACGGACATCGGTCCGCCGGTTGAGTTTTCGGGCGCAACTATGCGACCCGCAAACTATCCAAAATTCCCGGTTTTTCCGGCGGAAAAAAAAAAGCGGAAAATCGTGTGTGCAACGCCACGAGCGCGGCGATTTGATCGGTCCGCTTCTCTTTCCTTTTTCTTTTTATTTTCAAGAGCGCCCGTTTCATCGTCGCAACGCCTGTCGATCGCGCGGTTACGTTCGTGCGGAAAAGAAATCTGATATTCCGCGAGTGTCTTTAGTAATAATAAAAACAATTCCGTCTCTCTTTCCCAGCGAAACTCCTTACCTGGATCGTAAGTATCCGTTTCTCGGGGACGGGACGCGTGTTCCGACCGCGTTCGTCCGCGATCCTCCGGCACGAACTTCCCCTTTTCGCACTGCGAAACCCGCGCGAAAAACCGCACGCGTAACAACCCGCTCGCGGACTGCCTCGCGACTGCGTCGCGTATTTACCACGAACGACGACGACGACGGCACTGCGACGCCGCTCTCGTGCTGGTCCTCCGACGACGCGCCTCTCTCTCTCTCGCCTTTCGCTCAGTACGCGCCGAATGACGCTCGTGCACTGTCCTGGCTCGCGGCGCGTCCGTTCGGCGGTGCCGGCCTCGTATGATGACCCCCTTCTAGAATTCTACGGCCCTGACGATACATGACGGCGGTCACCGAGTGCGGCAGCCACCGGGCGCGTCTTCGGGATCGAGAGATCGATCTTTCGCACTCTCCGGAGTGATATGAAATTTCCGGAAGGAAACGCGCGCGCACTCTGACAAATTACCCGCAGGTACATGCCGCGCCAAACTTGGCACGCCTGCGAGCCACCCCATTGCAGATTCCGATCTCGGCGGGGAGGGAGGGGTTACTTAATCCTCACGATCTGTCGAAGTCATCGAAAGAGCCTCACGCGAGATCTCGGACGCGAGATCTTCGCGCGGAGACTCATGCTCGTCCACTTCCGCCGACTCCACACGAGAAATACATTGGAAAATTTCATTTGATTGACGCAAATTAAATGCTTGTTTCGACAATTTCGGTTGTGAGAACTAACATTTGATTGTCTGAAGCAAACCTTTTTCATTTTCACTTTCGAAAAGCAAATTTTTGTTCTCATAATCAAAATGTCTGCCCATGTCTAAATAAGCATTTTGTCTCAGTCAAGTAAATGGCGAATTTTTCCACGATTTTTTTCGGTTTCCTCCCGCGGTTGAACCGAATAGATAGAACTAAAAAACTGGATTTTTTTCATTTTTCCGCATATTTTTCTGTTTCTCTCCGAAAAAAAGAATGGGGAAAAGCCAGTTTTTCAAAACTATATAAAACTTATCAAGTCCAAAGAAACTTGTCCTCTGTGCACCGAGGATCGACTCGACGATCCGCGAAGCGAAAAGCGGAAGATCGCAACACCGAGCTATCGGCAATTTTATCGGATAAAGAGTCGAATGAGCATCTTCAACTTGAACCTTTTGAGTGTAACTTGAACCTCTACTGCGAACAAAAGGCGAAGTCCTCCGCCTTAGCTGGCAGTTCGAGAGTATCATACGCGCGGACACAAATTCCTGCAAAAGTACAACGTCGTCCTCTTTCTCACGCGTACTCCTCACCTCGAGATCCGGCACGAGAGCCGTCTCGTTAGAGAGACGGCGGAATCGCTTGGTCAGGCGATATCGACGTTGCGCGGGGATCGCGTAACGAGGCGCTCATTAACTGCAGCCGATTGCCGTAGTACAAACATCGGAATGCACAGTGTCGTGATACGCGTCGGATCGCATCAATAATAAACGAGAGAGCGGGCCAATCGATCCGAACGAATGACCCAAAAGCATCTGTGCACCGGCAGAGAGACCCCGCCTATGCACGTTGAAAGATGCTCTCTCAGCATCCGGCTCTTCGCCTGCCGAGAAATTCACCGCCGACGCGACCGAGAGAAAGAAAGCGGGAAAGTTTAGATGACGAGTCCGAGATCCCGGAACCCCTCACGTCACAAATAGGCGCGCTCCCGCGTGTGTTCCGTTCCAATTAAAATACTGTTCTCGGAGACGAGGAGACACGATCGAGGTCTCTTTACCGTTTCGGACTCGCGAGAATCCCGAACGAACGTGTCCGCGCGAACCAATCTTCGCCACGGGAGGAATTTCAATTCGACGCTTTCGGCGCTCGAATCTGGCGAACGAAAGTCGCACGACGACGATCTACACTTCCGCCAGGCTTCGACCGGGAATACTCGACGAGAAGAAACAACATTCCTCGTGGACGTTTCGCCCTGCGTACACGCACGTCACGAGTGGGGATCGGCCGCTGCAGTTCGCGCGAGGTTCGTCCGTCCCGCTTTTCTCGAGACTTTTCAAGTACGCCGACCGGGTATCTCTCATCGATCTTGTCGACTCGTGCGTACTGAAAATATGTGAAAGTGCCAGATGAAAATGCGCCTTTCCCGATAAGCCCGCGTTTGCGCCCCTTTACCGCTGTTTTTCCCCGCGCCCCGAACGGCGAATCGCCGCGTAATTCTAGCGCGCGCGCTGAGAATTAATGTGGTCCGGGCTGGTAGGCGAGGAATCCGATCCTCGTGCGACCCGCTTATTCACCTTTACGGTACCCGGTACGTACGTAGATGCTCGGCCGAGTCGCGTGGAAACTTGCGCGTGCCCGCTTTCGATATTTCACGCGCGCGCGTCTCTCTCGCGTGCTTTCGGTCGAAAGCGCTGGTGGGGCTCTAAGCGCGATCGTACTCTTTGTCATTTATTTATCGCGGCCGAACGATTCTCAATAAAACCTTCGCGCTATATAAACGCGAATGAATATGAACGAGGTTAAATAAAGCTGAGTCAAATGAATGAGTGCGATCCCGGGACGAGTCTCGTTTATATGTACGCTGTGCCGCGTAAATTACCCCTTTGTCGCTTTCTCACGCTAATTAGCACTTCTGCAAGGCCTCTTTATACGAATTGGAAATCGGATTTTTCTCGGCGGCAGCTTAAAAGACAAATAAATAAAGAAGCCGAATCGAAGATAAAGTGCAGGAGTGGGAGAGTGAAATTAATTAACAGGTCTCGCCGACCAATCGGACCAATTATTTAACTCGGTCATAATTGGCTCGAATTAATCCGTTTGTTTATCCTTTCTTTCTCTCTTTTAACTAACTAACGGGATTCCATTACACTGTGCATTTTTCATGTCCCTTTGACCGTTTGAAATAAACTGACGTTATTGACAAATTTGTGCGGTCGTTAAAAACGCCGGTCCGGTGTTTCTGGAACGGAAGCCGAGCCGATGGCGTTCGCGTTACGTTGTTACGTCCGGGTGAATCTGGTCATCGGGAGACGATGAAAAGAGAACGGCCGCTCACGCGGCGCAACGCGGCGAGGAAGAGGCTCGACAATGTCGTTAGCGTAGTGGAGAGGCGCGTGTTGACCTGGACGAATGTTCGTCGTAGAAGACGGTGGAAACGCGGAGAATGCCGAGGAACGAGCGCCAGCGAGACTAGGCGAAGCAAAGAGGAACAATGCTTTACCGGTGGTGACGGAGGGGGAGGCAGGGGGCCTCGGCAACGCGTGCCCTTCCTCAATGACCCCCGGGGCATCGCCGAGTCGTCGTCGAGAGAGAGAGAGAGAGAGAAAGAGAAGAGGCCCAGTGACCGACATTCCCCTCTCTTTCCTCCATCCGCGCCGATCCTCCACCGCCTCCTTTTACTCCTCCGCTCGTGTCTCACGACACCGCCGACGTTCACGCACCGACGATCCGACGCGCCAACGCGCGGCAACCGGAACTCGCGGACTCATCGCCCTGAATTTCCGCTCGAACGGAGGAGCCGCTTGAAGGAGGCAACGAGATGTGCCCGATACCTAGGAGGGCAAAAATCCTCCGTCCGACCGCGACGCGCGTACGTATTGGCACGTGGAATGTCGAGAGACATTCCGCTTCTCCGGCAGCCACCGACACCCACACAATTCGAAGAAATTCAAATATCTTATCCGGATTTATTTCTGGAGTACTGTTGGCGTATGATATTTTGCATGAATTGGTGACTTTAATCTATATATGTATAATAAAAATTTTGTGTAAATAACTGAAATTTCGTGTTACTTTAACATAGGAATAAGTTAAGGAGTACACAAACTATATGTTAAACTAAATATATGGTTGAAGTTTGAAGCTATCTTCGAGGGAAAAATTATTTTTTTCAAGTTTAAGTTCAGTGAAAAAAATATGCAGGAAAATAATAAGACAAATAAAATTGTGCAAATGTGTCAATATTAGTATAAATATACAAGAAAAAAGGAAAAGAATACGCGTGAATATTCACACAAAATTCCTGCCGAGAGCCCCGGCGGCTTGTGCACACAAGTAACAGCAGTCGCATGTTAAATTAACTTATTCACCTTGCCAAAGTAACATCAAAATTTTAATAAACTGTTATTCACACAAAATATTTTACTGTGTATGTACACAGAGGACAAAATTTCTTTGATTTTAATACAATTTCTTTTAATTAGCTAGAAGCTAATTTGTATTTTGAAATAGAGCAAACCAACGAATGTTTGATTCGACAAACAGGATTGTTTTGTTTCTCAAACAATAAATCTCCACCCTCTCTCTCTCTCTTCACGTTAAATAACTTATATCTTTTATATTTTCTTCCAAACTTTGAGCTTTATTACATAACCGGTCAACTAGAAAACAAGATGATTTTCCCGAAAAGTCGGTTTCCTAGTCACCATAATTTCTGTTTTCCTCGTTCGTCTCAATTTTGAGACCGATAATTGCGTTGTCTGTTGCAATCGTGTCACCACGTATAATCCGTTACCTGTAACGTGGATCCGCATAGAGACGACGGCAAATAAGCAGTCGCTATTTTGCCATTAAGCGCGACAGACGCGGGACGGAATCTCGCGTTTCGCTGTCGTCGTCAACGTCGTCGTCACTTCAGGCAGGACGTCGCCGCGAAATCAATTTCCGTCCCGCTTCCGTGAGCATTTGCTTACGCTTATACTCGGAACACGAGAGATCGTCACCTCGTCGTATCGTTCCGCTCGCTCTCGCGATCGATAAACAATTCCCGTGCCGCGTGATTTCGTACCGTTGGCCCGGGGGGCAAACGTAATTACCGTTAATTGCAACTGCCACTCGGCCGTACAGCATATTGAAAATTTTATAGTCGCCGGCTCCATTCCGCGCCGCGGCATACAGTAGGAGTCCACACACTGTGCGCGCGTGTGCGGATGCATGCGTAACTATGTGTACATACCTGCATACGTACATGCGCGCCCATACATTCTCGTGTCGACACGCTCCATGTGTGTATATGCACGTGCGACTACCTGTCTTATCGGCAGGAAGACCAGCCGGAAGCGACACGGGTTTCAATCTAACGGAGAAAACAACCGGTTTAATATCCCCGCGTTGTGTATACATGCACATATTCGCGTTGGATCATATTCTTTAAAGTTCGTAAGGTACGAGTGGAAATCTCTCGAGTCTTTTTTCCTTTTTTTTTTTAAATCCTCGAACGTACGAAGCTACGCTTGTTCACGATCAGATTGCTATGTTTGAAAAGGTCGGTTGCGTTAATTACGATTCCCATGCGTCCGCACTCATTAAATGATTTACCGACTGTTTCCGTTCTCTCGCAACGCGAAGTTGCCGAAATACGCTATTAACTGTGTAAGCGAGAGATATTCGATCGTTTCTCGCCATACCGGGCGAGATTAATGCGCTCGTCTTGTACAAACAAGATTTACATATACTTGAGTATGCATCTCGTCGCCTAAATGGCATCTCGAGCTTCCTGCAATAATGCCAACGGTTCTTTGAAAGTTATAATGCCTCTTTGTGGACGTTGAACGTTCGATCACGGAGAGAATTGCCGTGATTGCTACAACCACTGTCTCTATGGTTAGAGAAGAAATTTATATGGATTCAAATTAAATGGATATTACTTTAAAAATTGCTGTTGACACATGCCCGTCTTTACAATGCTCACGGCTATAGTTCAAAGCCATTGTATTAACAAGGAGAAAACGGCTGAAAAATGACGATGATGTCAAAATGATGAAAAAGTGATAAAAATATGAATTTTATTTCCTAGTCATTTTGACGTCAAAAATAACGTCATCGTCATTTTATAAAATAGTTCTTATAACCTTTATCTATGTATAAGCGAAAATAATAACGTTAATATTTTGTTGCGACAACCATGTATCTAGTTAAGTGATATTCGTAATTTTTCTTCTCCGTGAACTTCTCTCTCTTTCTCTCTCTGTTGCGTGTGAAACACGCGTGATTTGATCGACGTTGATCATTATTGATTTATAGATCACGTAGAGAGAACGGAAATAGATACATTCTGCAACGTCAAACTATTACGCGATGTTCAAATGTGTGAATCCGTATTAGCGTCTTGTGTTTACTTTGAGACTAAATATGGCGGATCGAAACTAATGATTTATACGACTTTTTTTCGTCCGAAACCGGACTCACTTACGGACCAAACTTAACTAGATACATCGTACACTACATGAGGAATAAAGAACCATTCGTTTCGGATTAATGTACCTTTTACGATATATTTATCTTTTCTTTTCCCCAGAGAACCTCAACTCACAACCGCTCGCCTCAAGTCCCAGCGCGGAAAGGACGACCTCATAAAGTGTGACGCAGATCTGCCCTTTGTAACTGCACTTTCTGTAATTAAAAGAAAATGGATGTGCATTCAAACGTGAAACGAGTGTACAGATACTCGCACAGGTGTGTGTTTGTCTTCCTTTTCGATGAACTAGTGCTACACTGGAATTTCGTCCTGACGCTTATACGCTTGTTTCATTCTGGAGGCAAAAAATGCTATCTAGTTAAAACAAACGCTAAAACAAACAAATGAAAAAAGTGACAAGGTGTAGAAAAACATTTGATGCGAATCGAATCGATACTGATCGAATCGATACCAATCGCAGATCGAAATCGAGAATAATCGCAACGACTTCAGGGTGCGCGCGCATAGGCTCCACGTATAAATAGCGCTTCTGAAACTATAGAGAGAGAGAGAGAGAGCTCCACGTATAAGTGACAAGATCAAAATAACCTTAATTTTACGCGCGATCAGTCCCCGCGACCGCGATTCCTTGGTGCATTTCGATTTTGTTGCAACACACACGTCGGTCGCGCGCGAGCGTGATTCCTCTCCAAAAATGGTGTCCGTTTTGAATACTGTCGATACCGGCCACGAGGACATGATCCACGACGCCGAAATGGATTATTACGGTTTGAGGTTAGCCACTTGCTCGAGCGACAACTCCGTCAAGATATTCGATCTGAAGAACGGCACCCAGAGCTTGGTCGCCGAGCTCAAGGGACATATCGGTCCCGTGTGGCAGGTGGCATGGGCGCACCCCAAGTTCGGCAATCTTTTAGCCTCCTGCAGTTATGACAGGTGCACTGCTGACTGACTACTCTTTTTGACGGGTCTTCACAGATTTCTGTAAATCTAGCGATATCTCGCAATGTCTTGGCAATTTATATTAAAAGTGTCGCTGTATTAATGCTCCTTCTCACCAGTTCTTATAATTTTTCATAAATATTTCACAATTTCTTAGCATCTTATGTCTACAACAACTATAACAACTTATCCCTGTAATAACAAATTGCTTCACATGTTATGCTTACAATATTAAGTAAATTTAACATTACATAAATATGATATTCATCTGTTTCGTCATCTGATAATTATCTAAATGAGATGACACATATATCAAACTTGTACGTTTCTACAGGAAAGTGATTATCTGGAAAGAACTTGGAGAATGGACAAAGGTGTACGAGCATACAGGCCATGATTCCTCCGTCAATTCTGTCGCATGGGCGCCGCACGAGTTCGGCCTGATTTTAGCGTGCGGCAGCTCGGATGGGTCAATCTCCATTCTCACGAACACCGGAGACGCTTGGCACACGCAGAAAATACCAAACGCTCACACAATCGGCTGCAACGCGGTCAGTTGGTGCCCTGCGATCGATTCCGGCTTCGACGCCAACGCAACGCAACAGAGAAGCAGCCCTGTTAAGAGATTAGCCACTGGTGGCTGCGACAACTTGGTGAAAATCTGGAAAGAGGAAGGCGACAGATGGGTGGAGGAGAACAAGCTGGAAGCGCATAGTGATTGGGTAAATTTTGATCGGAATGGAAACCAGAGTTTCTATCATTCAGATTATTGGTATATCCGGGGGCCTTAAGACTTGTGGTCTGAATCCGAGTATCCAAAAGCTCAGCTTTCATCAATTCAACAACTGACAAATTTAGAGTTCATCGACATCCGAGTATAAATCGAGTACTCAGATAATCTGATATTCACTGTTCGGATATTTGTAAATTTGAGACATAAAAACGTACTAATATATTACATTACATTTGTGTACACGTGATATTCATACGTGTGTAATCGTCTCGAATTCACAGGTTCGAGACGTAGCTTGGGCACCGGCTGTCGGTCCCTCCAGAGTCACTTTAGCGTCCTGCTCGCAAGATCGCCGTGTGGTCGTCTGGACATCCAACGATTACGCCAGTTGGACACCGAACGTTCTGAATGTTTTCGACGATGTAATCTGGAACGTTAGCTGGTCGTTGACGGGAGGTATCTTGGCGATCAGCGGCGGGGACAACAAAGTTTCCCTGTGGCGCGAGAATTCCGAGGGACAGTGGACGTGTATCTCCGAATTGAACAAGGGCCAAGGCAACCTCAACAGTGCAGCGGATCAGCGCGCGTTATAATGTCACTCATAAGGATGTAAAGTAAACGATATTTTATACAAGTACGAGCGTTGTAAATTAATATAAAGATTGTTCGACGGTACTGTTATAAGCATCTCTTAGCGAATTCCTGTTAGCGCTTTGTTATTTGCTACTAATATTTCAGTATATCCATAAAAGGAAAAGTTATCCACCTGAGATGTAACAGCGATGATGTTTACCCGACTATAAATCTCGCGATACATTCAGCGGAACGAGGTTTCCTAACGAGTAAACAACGAATATCGTGCGCGATTTATGTACATGGACAGAGAAAAAAAACACTCCTCTTATCATGCTCTGTACCATATTCTGGACTCTTAATTTATAATTTATATAAAAATACAATAATTTTGCGCCGGAATATACTAAAAATAACATTATTCGTTAGTCGAATAGTCTTTAGTCTTGCGTGTATAAGGATGCGGCGAAGACTATGTCGCGCTTGATCGCGGTCGAGGCCTCCTCCATTTTTTCCTTCAAAACAGGGTCGCCTATCGTCACAGCCGCGTTCTTAACGTCTCGCAGAGTCTCGCCGAGTTGCTGTATGCAACGGACTATGATCCCCTCTTGGACATCCGTCTTCTTCATAATTTCGGCGAATGACTTAGCCTGTGCCCACTCATAAACTACTTCCATCAGGCCGAAGTTTAACGGCGACAACGTCGACAGCTGGTAGACTTGTTCTAAAGATTCCAACTCGGCGTACACCGTTTTCATGACTTCGCGACCCTGCAGAATAACATGAATTGTTTAATGAGCTCAACTAATAACAATGGCCATTGGAATTAGCGTAGAAAGAATCAATCAGCCTGAATCGCAAAATTCACCGACTAGCGATACGTGTCTCAAAACGTTACGATTCGGGCTCTCATCGACTCTCTTTGCATTTGTTAATTACTCAGAAAGAAACAAACTAGCAGATACGTACATTCATCAGATTCGGCGTGAGTTTTGGCTCAACATCGGTGCGTTGATGAAAGATCACCGCCGACAATAGCGCTACTATCTCCGCCGGTTGTAAAACAGTCAGCACATTCTTGAGAATCAGCTCAGTTATGAGCAATTCGTTGCTACCCATTTGTAGAGCGACTCTTCCCTTCAGGGCGACTGCAATCGTGTTTTAAGCAGACGTTATTCGCATTCAAGTGAATTGACGCGTTCTGGCCGTGATACATACCCCTCTCGTCGCTATCGATGTATCTCAGATGCTTGAGAAGCGCCAGCATGTTCACGTATTCCGGATACAAAGCCATCCCCTCGTCGCTGAGCTTGAGCTGCAGCTGTCGTATTTTGCTCTCGAGTTGGTTACGCTCGAACACAGGCCTAAATTGTTCCTCGAAATTAGGTATTTCCGTGCACCTCATATCGTCGAGAATCGCCTTGAGCTGGTCTCTGTGTTGTACCCTCACCCGTAAGTCGCTCTTCAACGAGAATTCAGCGTACGGATGCAAAATTTCCGGCGACGCACCGGCTTTTAACGACAGAGACAATAGTTCCTGGACCGCCGTCTGGCAGGTCTGACCCGGCGGATCGTTTCTGAGGAAGGGAACGCCAAATGAATGACCGAAGCGTCGAGAATGATTGTATATATTTTGTACCCGTAGTTTCTTACTTGAATCGTGATATTTGTCTCTTCTCCCAGTCGTTCAGTACCAAGGTGCAGTCGATTTTTATCTGATGCTTGGTCACCGCCAGGATATGCCACGCTGATATAGTCAGGACCTGATGCGACGGATTGATGCTCGGGACGAATATACGCTTCTTGGTCAGGTTGATCATATCGCACCACCTCTCGTAGATCTGCGGATCCTTGAATTCCGCAACCTCGTAGTCCGACGCGTTCGCGTCCACGAGCACCAACACTTTGTACTGATTGGAAGTTTTGTGGCTGATAATTTGCAGCAAGAGAGCTACCTTGTTGTAGTGATTCGCGTGCGATACGATCAGCACTCTGCCCTCGGTCACGCTCTTCGCCGCTTTCTTGGATTCGAACATGTACGGATTCAGATACTTGATGTCCTCGAGGTAGTCCACCGCCACGTGGTGAAACGCCGAGAGCATCCTCTGGACATCGGTGAAAGCCGGTAGATTCGATAACTCTCGCTCCAGCTTCCGCAGCTCCGTCATGTACGCCGCTTCCTGCGAGGCCAAGGGCGATTCCTTGAAGGACTTGCGCATCATCGCCTCGACAGTGACGGACTCGTTCACCCTTCTCAGGTTCAATAGCATGGCATAGGTGACTTTGAACTTCGACTCCAGTGTCTGCGCACCGCCGCACATCATTGGCTTGAGGTCGTTGAAATGCGGCACCTCGTTCCTGCACATCAGTATCACCGTTCCAGTGGTGTCGTGGCCTCGCCGGCCGGCGCGACCGGCCATCTGTATGTATTCCGTCGGGAACAGAGGGCGAAAGTGATTGCCGTCGTACTTCCGTATCGAATCGAATACCACCGTGCGCGCCGGCATGTTGACACCCATGGCAAAAGTTTCCGTCGCGAACAGCAACTGAAACACGTCAAGATGCGACCCCGTGATTCACCCCGGAATATCTCCTCGTATTCCCCGAAATGATTACCTTCACCACTCCACTCTGGAACAACATCTCCACGATTTCCCTCAGAATCGGCAATATCCCGCTGTGATGTATACCCACTCCTTTCTGCAGAAGCTCCTGCATCATAAGTACTTGCGGCAACTCCCTGTCGCTGCCCTTCAGGTTTCTGATGTTACTTTGAAAGAACACGTGCACCTGATGCTTCTCCCTCGCGGTCGTCAAGTCGAGATTCCTCAGTGTGGCAGCATTCATGTCGCAACGCTTCCTCGACAGTGTGAATACAACCACGGGTAACATGTCCTGTAAGATCGACGGCGTTCAATAAACGGAGATGACCGTCGTCGAAAATGTCTTCTCTACTGGGATAAAAACCGCGAAATCGACGATGACGTACGTTTTTCTTAAGATGACTTATGAACGCCCTCCATAAAACTTCCTCCTGCTTCGGAGTCATTATAATTTTTCTCCTGTTATCTTTTTGATTTTTGTTATTCTTCTTATCGGATGAATTTGCCGCTTTGTACCATCTAAATTATCGTAGCAAATATTGAGATAAACTATGCCTCTGAAGGACAGAGAGCGACGCGCAGACAGAAGAAAATGATTTACCCGTCTAACAAGAATTGCCCACTGCCATCGAGCACTAAAAATTTGTCATCCTTAGTCTTACCGTCGGTTCCAGTGTATAAATAATGCAGAAGAGGTATCGGCCTTTTCAGAGTACTGATCACGTACATTTTTCGCTTCTTGATGCGACCTACCCAGTCCGCGAACACTATCGGATTTGGCACGGTCGCAGATAACATTACTATGTTGATGGTTTGCGGCAGAAGAATGACTATTTCCTCCCACACATGACCTCTCTAAAAGAATACAGTGATACGCAATTATCGAATATCATGGGAGCATTAGCAACGTTAGCGGAAAGCGGAAAGTTAATTACATCTTCGTTATTAATGTAATGCACTTCGTCGAATATCACAAATTCTAGGTCTCGCAAGACGTCCGATGCGCAATACAACATCGATTGCAAGATCTCTGTTGTCATGATTAAGCACGAGGCGTTTTGGTTTATCTGCAAGTCACCCGTTAACAATCCGACACTTTCGAACTTCTTCTTAAAGTCGCGATATTTCTGATTCGACAGCGCTTTTATAGGAGACGTATAAATCACTCTAAAAAAAAAGTGACAGAAACGATCAGGATTGGTAACTCAGTCTGTCTGGTTATTTGTAATAACAGGGATATATACAGAGTAATATATCAAGCAACTCTGTACCTCGTCATGTGCTTCTGACTCAATGCAATAGCGTATTCAGCGACAGTGGTCTTTCCTGCAGACGTATGCGCAGCAACAAATACATTGCAGTTTTCTTCCAATTTAAGGATAGCTTGCTTCTGGAAGGTGTCCAGTTCATATTCGAACTTGATTGCTGGATCAGGTACTTTCTTGTCAAAATCAGTCACTGGAGCAGACACATCCAACTGCTCTGCCCATTCGCTCTTTGCCAACTCTGATCGTTTCTCCGATATCTTCAGAACAGGTATATTTATTTCGTCAGAAAAAGTAGAGATGTCTTCTATGGAGGGAATGTTGGAAGGTTGTACACTTTCTTTCTTAGTTTCCTCAGTTAGCAACCATGAGCCAAGCGAATTCCCCTCCTCGTGTATAACAGCCATTAAATTGACATTATCATTATCAGTTTGTAATTCATCGGGTGTTTCAGACACTGAACTTGATATCGATGTTTCCTCTGCATTCTTGTTACAATTGGTTGGCGTACAATTGTCACTTTTGAATTCTAAGCCTGAACTAAAGCCTTTAGCTAATGTCCTTAAATTTTTCTCAAAATCAATGTCCTCCCCAAATTCACTTTCAGGTACTTTAATTTCATCAAAACCACCAGGCCAAAAGGGAATATTGCTGGGATTACCTGTAGAAAACATATCGTTCAGGATAATGTACAATTTGTCTGCTTTAAACTGCATTGTTAGAATTGAAATCAAGCTTGATATTTAATTCATAACAATTTTGACAGGATCAATATACCTCGAACTCCATCCATAAGTGGTCCAGGTGCACGAGTCATGGACATAGAATTTCTCGCAGTTTCTCCTGCACCCAGTAAGACAATCTCTTGCATCTCGCCAATTTTACCTGTTATCGGGTCACGATCAAACTTCAATGTTGTACCAATCGGAGCTAAATCATACTCCAAAAGTGAAAGAATATTAGGCTTGCGCGGCCAATAACATTGAACATTGTCTAGTTGATGTATCGGTAATCGTTCGGGATTCTCGATGTATCCCCGCATTTCTAATTCAATATCAGGCCAAATGGGTGGAGGTTCAAGCAGCTGTAAATAATAACATGTTAAACTGCACCAGGCTATTATACAGAATCATACATCTAATTATAATCTAAATGTAAGTGATGTAATTACCTCCGCCGAGTTATTCATTGTTACGTCAATTTCACAAACCTTTGTTTACAATATATTAACAAGTGATAATATTAAAATTTTTCTCATGCTACCTACTTGACCTATGAAATCAACATGGTTGTCAAAACGTTTATCGTTAAAAGAATAATCTTGAGAATTTCGCTTAATTAGTCAACAAGAATCACTTATTTTTAGTCATTTAATTGTCACAATAGGCAGTTATAAAGAGTTTATTTTGTGCTAGTTGTCTTCCGGTCGACATGTAACCTAACTTCTCAGATAACCCATATGCGGTGTTGGATACACTATGCAACAGCAGAGTCACCTAGTGAAATAAGAGTTAACTAATAAATACAAACAAAACTTTATTTGAAGCAATAGCTGTAGAGTAGCCAAAAATCTCCTCTACTAAAATATTTTTTCAATGATTATATCATACAGATAATACATAATATTACATTAGGCAACTCTCCCTTAATCAGCATTTTAATTATATTCAGCATTCATAACGTGTACTTATTTTCACACATGATTCTGTTAACATAATCATATATATGTCCGTGTATATTGTCCATACATATGCATTTATTCTATTCCATCTCGTCCATTTTTAATTTTGCTCTGTCTTTGCGTATATTCTTTTTCCACAGTCTCTTAATGTGCTTCTTCAGTTTACCTGATTCCTTTAGTTCTTCATACTGTGAGACGAGATCCAGAGCCTTTTTCTCCGCTTTACAAATAAATAAAATAAAATAACAAATTAAAAATAAATACCAGAATAGCATTAAAAATTAGTTCAGCTTACATTTCTTCTTGAAAACAGGCTTCTCTCCTCGTTTGATAGACTCAATCAGTTCCTTCTTTTCTTGTTGTTCCTTTTCCTTCTTTTCCTTCAATTTCTTTTCTTCTCTTAATTGATTTTCTAGCCTTTGAATGAGATATTTTATTTTCTTTGTCATTTTCGGATCTTTTTCGGCTTGTTTTAGTTCTTTCTTTAGAGCATTGAGATCGTTCTCACGTAAGTTGCTAATAAATCCATAAGAACGTTTGAAAGCCTTCTCATCAAATTTACCGCATAAGCTATCGAATCTGGGATCTCGAGTCTTAACTTTTTTAACTTTCACTACTTCTCTTAGAGTGGATACTGGTATTTTAGCGGATACTTCATGCGGTCTGTTTTTCCCACGTTTCTGTTGCTTTTCTTGCTTGAATTTTCTTTCCATCTTTATTTTCTTCCTGGACACTGTCTCTTGATACAACTTAGTTCCTAATTTCTCCTCTAATTTTAGCAGCTCCCCGAAACTCAAATCGGAAGATTCCTCTATCTGAAATAAAAATAAAAATAATATAAGGAATCCTATAAACAACTTATATTTTTTAATTGTGTATAACGATAGTTGTAATAATATATAATGTTCTTTATGTATGATTGTTGTAATGGTTTTTAATTGTACATAATGGTCATTTAAAATTCGTGCTAAAATTTTACCCGATCTTCATCTTCTGCAAATAATTTGTTTTTATCACTCATGCTGAATTGATGTGCATACATAATAAAATTATTGTTTTCCTTGCTTGCTTGTAAGGAACGACTGCTGGAAATTCGAGGTTAGCATTACATGCGCCATCTTCCGAAAAGTATAGTTTTTTCAAAACCTTATATAGGATTCACACTACGTCTGACATTTGACAATCCGATATCCAATGAGATATTTCACTTTTTAGGGTTCCCAGCTAAAAACATTTTTGTCTTTAGAAAACGTATTCTCCTATTGGATATTAATAGCCGTACGTCGGTGCAGTGTGAATCCTGCATTAATTGTTAATGTAGTCTTCCTTTTCATTCAATCGTCTATCAATGATACACACCGTATCCTATGCGGGTGTATGTTGATTTTACACAGGTATAATTAAATAAAAATAGTGATAAATACCTCCAAATAAAAAGATAAAAGGGAAGAAGAATGAAAATGAGTGAGTTAAAATAGAAATAAAACGAGAAATTTCTATTATTTAACTTGTTATTTAAAAAAACGGTTGTTATAGGTTAAGTTATACAATGTGAAAAAGTTTATTACCGACAAAATATGGATAATACCGAATTGTTGTTCTTCGATACATTCTCCCATGACATTTCAGAGGTATGTTTACACATTGGATTAATAATAATGATAATAAAAATCAAATCTGAAATCATTTTTTTTCCATTTTTTAGGAATTGAACCTGGATTTGGTGCAATTCCCCAAGCCTGTTTATATTAGCGAAGTAAGAATAATACCATTGGGTGCACGAGTACAAGCAGACTTTCCAGGAGGAGTACGCCTCGGGTAATGACTGATTCTCTTCCGTTATTAGCTAAGAACTTTCAAAGATCTATTAATTTAGACTATAAGGATCTAAAGTCTCGGTATTATTTTCTTCAAATTGATTCACAAAGATACCCAGAATTGATAAAAAAAAGGATTATCCTTTTAGAGCAACCAATCCTTCTCAATTTGAAATTGAGTTTTTTGTGAATGACCTCAGTAAGCCTGGAGCATCTACTTTCGAATCTCTGGGTGGGTTAGAATACAAGCAGAACATTCACATTCAACTGGAATGCGAGCGAAAACAGATACCAACTGATGGATTAGTGCTAAGAGGATGGTATACCACGATAACGCTAGCAGTGTATGGTACTCTGACAAAATCGCTGAACAATCCTCAGGAGGTCAATAGTTCAACAGCAGGATCTACCACTTGTGTCAGTGCCCTGGAAGAAAATCCTAAAGGTGCTGCTCAGACTCCTTCGGAACAGCAACCTGAGTGGTATTACGAGAACCAGCATCAAACAAATTCATCGGTAAGGATAATTTATTTGCAATGATAAAATTTATGCAGAATAAATTTTTTCTACATCATAGATGTTTACAAACATCTAAATACACCTGAACAATATTTTGAGTAGAGACATGGAAATGCTTGAAAGATGTGTTAGATCATCGAGATCCTCTTTTACAGGTTCTACTTTCCAAATGCCGTGTCCCTGTGCTTAAAAACTTGATGTTTAACCGCATATCATTGTCAACAGGAAACATGCGTCGCCGCAACTCCGCCACCGCCGGTTCAACCAATTCAGGTTGTAGAGCCGTCCAGGACTGCCGCGCCGGACACCGAGAAGGCAGAATCAGCACAGTGGGAAGAGGAGGCACCCTGCAATACAGGCGAAAAACCCTCGAAACGACCTTCCTCTCCTCCTACGGAGTCCTTGATCTCTCTGAGTCCCGAGTCCATCTCTGCCGAAGAAGAGGAAGCGGAACAACAGGAAGCGGCCGAACCGGAGACTGGCGAGCCGTTCGAGCCTATATTATCGGACGAAGACATAATGACTGACGATGTGCCATCTACAGCCGAATTCGAGTGCGAGGCGCAGATCGACGAGATCTACGCGCTGATGCCGCCCGATCTGCTGAGTCTAGAGAAACCGGGGAATCTGGAGGAGCCCTGCGTGAGCCACGAGACTTTACTGAAGATCAAAGAGATCCTCCAGCCCTTGTCCAAGTCGGTCACGCATTTCCACAACGCGTCTGGTCAGGAGAAAGAAACGTTCGTCCATAACTGCGAATCTCTCTGTGCCATATTAGGTCCGTTCGACTTCAGCACGGACAATGTCAACGACTTGACCAACATCGTCAACGCTGGCTTAGACATGGACTTCGCTAGAGCCCAGCCGCAACCGGCGTACAAGGTGCGGCACGTGAAGGTGGGTGTACGTTTAGCGGAAGCTCTCTGTCGATTATCCATAGGTCCGGAGATTCTGCTAAAGGTCGACGCGCCGTCCAAGCTGCTGTCTCTCTGCATGCGCGAGAACGTGGCGCTGCCGGTGAAACTTTCCGCCCTGCGAGCCCTCGACGCCGCGCTGATCAGTCCGGTGATCGTGCAGGAGTTCTTAAATCTGAAGATCAGTCTGTACAGAAAGGCACTGACGATGCTGGACACGGTGAAGTTAGCCAGACTGAAGTACGCCCTAAGCTCGCTCCTCCGCAAGGTCCACGTCTACGAGTATCTGGAGGAGACGAGAGAATTCGAGGAACTCGGTCTGGCCGAGCTGATGAACGCCTACATTTGCGCGCCGACATTGATGGCGCAGCCCAAACGCCAGCTGCCGGCCGGTGCTCAGATGGAGTTCGAGCGAGAACGCACTCGCAATCCTCGCGCCCACCTGGTAGTCTACTTCGAGTACCACAAGTTAACCCATCACCTCCTGCTGGCATTGTCCTCTCCCGAGTGCGACTTCAAGGTGATCAAGCTGATCCGCCGCTTCCTCCTGCATCTCTCCGGCACGAAGGAAGGCCTGTTCTACCTGATGAAGGAGGCCGAGGTGGTACGGCTGATGCTGAAGGCCCTGAAATGCGAGTTACCGGGCGCCGGTTGCATCTTGGCGTGGCGTCTTCAAGTCGCCCAGTGTTTGATCCGCTTGAGACAGAACGACCCGGACGACTGGATGACTCTGAAACAACTGCACTCCTTCCTCGTGTTTCCCGACGGCTTGCGCGCCATTATCAAGGTAGCGCCGTTAGGCGACTTCATGGACGTCCTGATCCCCTATTTGTCGGACTCCAATCTCTGCGAGTTCGCCGCCGAAGTGATCTCCGCCATCGTGCGCTACTCCGACCGTGTGGAGATCCTGCAGAACCGCGCGGAACTGATGCTGGATAAGGCGCGCGAACATGCTGTACTCAGGGATGTGACGTCGTATTTGACGACCGCGGCTCAGGCCTCTCACTGGGACTACAGCGACGTGTCATCGCTGGTAGCGATCGTCAGGAAGAGCGCGGAGAAGGCTGCGTCTCTGCCTGGTCAACTGATCACCGCCTGCAGGATCCTGCATTATCTCATCTTCCCGTCGAACAACGACGTCGACCCCATGGAACCCTACGTCGAGCTGAAATATAGGAACGCCTTGACGCAGCTCTTCGCCGCCGACGGTCTCACCGCCCTGGTCGCTGTGATGGCGAACGTCTCCGAGTTCTACGAACAGCCGTTCCTCCATCGCGCCGCCCTGACGGGCCGCAGAGGTATGGCGTTGGTCGCCCTTCTGCTGCCCTGCGTGAAGCTGACCCGGGCACTGCTGGAGAGGCTCGTCAAGTGCATGGCGACGGACTTCAAGGATCTCACGGCTGTCGTTCCGCTCTTGGGTGTCTATTCCTTGGTTGAGGCCGTGCCGCCTAATCTAGTAGTGCGGACTCTGTCCGAGGAGATCGTGGGCACGCTGCTGGTGTTCACCCAGGCGGTCGATTCCGACGGTTCCGGCAACGTAGCCAAGTCTCTGTGGACTCAGATGTTGGGCGAGGTGCTGAAAATGGTCTCGCTCAGTCCCTGCAACTTCGTGCCGGGTCTGAAGCTGCTGGCACGCCTGTTACCGCCCGTCCTGACACCGCGAGAGACCGCCACCGAGGACGCGGCGAGAGTTGTAGGCCTGAGGAAACTCTGGTCGGCGCATCTGCAAGCGCAAGCCACGAATCTCACGGAAACTCTGCGATTACTCTGCGCCACTTGGAACGGAGAAGTCTTGCTCCTTTTGTCCACGGTGTGCAAGCAGTTGAGCGACCTGGCGGCGCCGACGGCTCTTTTGGTCGGAAGATGTCTCTTGGATGGCATCTTAGCGGCCACTCCTCAGAATAATATTCCCATTCTCGCTCTGATCAGCGATCTAGCTAGGCACGCGCCCATGAAGGCCACCTTGCTGACCCTGACGAGTCCTGCGTCCAGGGCACAGGTGAAATCCGATCAGAAGTACCCACCGGTCATCGAGATGATGTGCTCCACCCTGAAGAACAGCGGTGAAGTCCGTGCGCAGTACGAAATCCTCAGTATCTTCGAGACCCTGTGCGACTGTGGTCTGAGCCTGATGCAGGAGGATAACGAGCCCTTCGAGAAGAAGCTTACGCATTCGGTACCCAGCAAGGAACCTTTACTGTCAATCCTCGCGGCTCTGATCGAAATCTTAGCCACCAGCACGAAGTACCAGCTGGATGTGATAGAGTGCACCCTGCACGTCCTCCTGTCCCTCATCGGTCACAACTATGGCCTGTACCACGTAAAGAGCTGCCTGGAAAACAACCCTGGTGCCTTACGCGCGTTGCTGGATCACGTGTCTACTTTGGAAGATCCCGAGACGTGTCCCCTGGTGGGCCTGACCGTGACCTTCTTGGAAAATTTGATTGCTTCCGAGAGACGATCCCTACACCTGCGCGCACAGCAGTTGGCCTCTTTGATCTCTTGGGAGAGAAACGACCATCCCTTGGAGAAATTGAAGCGCGCGAAGGAGCTGGTGGAGACTTTGAAGGCCGAAGAGAGAGAGGAGAAAGAACCCATCCCGGAGATGTTGGAACCGCTGTTGCCTACTCCGGAGGCTCTGTTGAATCAGTTCTCGCAAAGATGCGCCGGGACGACCGGTAACAGTCCGGCCCGGTCCACGAAATTCTCCTTCGCGACGACCAGTCAGATACAAGCGGAGAATACGGTAGACCTGTTGGCACTCGCCGCCGAGTTACTGCCCGCTGACTTCAATCTGTTGGCGGAGGCGCAGAATTTGTGCTCCAAAGCACCTCCCGACGACGCCACCCAACCTCTGCAGTCGAAACCGCAAGATGAGGAGCAAGAAAGCAGAACGGAGAAGCAGAGCTCCCCAATCGCCAAGTCGAAGCAGCCGTTTGGTAAGATTTTTAACGCTCATCTACCAGCCGATCTCCGCAACGGATTGTAGTCGATCGATTCCCGTTTTTGTATTACGTAGCAATTTCTTTTTTTCATTTTCCACTCCAGTGACACCGGTACGAGGTAGAAACCAGTTCACCAACTCATTACGGGGTGGCCCGGTGGGTGGAGGGGTGGGTAGAGGCGCTGATCCCTTTCGATCGAGACCGCCCAATACCTCGAGACCACCGTCTCTTCATGTGGACGAATTCGTAGCGCTGGAAACGTGCGGAGCTCAACCGACAGGCCCTACTGGTTACAACAAGCTCAGCATACGCGGAACATGCCCACCGCGCGCTATCAACAGCGGGACCAGAAGCCGGCCGTGGGCGCAAGAAACTCGTCCTCCGTACCTTCGTTAATTCATTCTTCCTGCTCCTCGAATTCTTCTCTTCCTCAAATTACGCAAAAACATCCCAATTTTGCTGTAGTACGATCCTAGAGATCGTTCGACAAATCCCTGGCGAGTTCTTGAAAAATGCATGATCTTTTTCGAAGTAACTCTAAAAAATCATGCTACGTCCTCCGCGAAAGTATATTTTATTGTATTACAAATCATTTGACTTAACTAACTTTTGCCAATTAGAGAACATATTTTCAAATTTGTAGACGTGTTTCTCCAAGTTTTTCAATCTTCGCATTTTGCCTTTACCCTACAAAGAGATTACACATAATTATTACATATGTATGTATATATATATATATATATTTTGAACGTTATTTTTTTTAATTTATCGATATTTCTTAAATATTTACCGCACAGTACTTTAAATAAAATAAGAAATAAAAGAATATATATAAATATTAAATAAAGTGAAAAATTATTCTTTCCTTGTGACGTGATTTATTTTGAAACTATTGTGCGTGTGTGTTACCTCTTTTACTTTGGCTATTTTTCTTGCAGGATGTTAAATTTTTTCATTGAAAAACACAACGTAATAAAAAGATATAATAACTACTACAAGAATAAGTATTCTGTGTACCTTAGGCTTCCGTAAATTTGGTATTTTTTTCGAGAATTTCGTCAGTGATTCTATAATTTTTTTATTGGGTTTTATTTGATTTCTTTCCATGTAATCCATCACTAACATGAGGAATCCGAAATTATTTTTACAGCAAGCTGTTCCAAGAAGAGCACCCATGATTATAATATTGGGCCTATAACCAAAAGCCTCCATTCCATCCAGGAACTCTTTGGCGTCTTGATATTCTTGACAAGAAAGTGCCAGAACTCCGAACGTCATTATGTTTGGAGCAAGCGACTTCCTCTCAGTTATTTGTATCACTTCCTAAATAATAGAGTCGCATTATGCACTAATTAAACGATAAATTGCGCAAATCTACGAACACTCACCTTCGCAGCTTTGTATTCACGACGCATGCTGCGCCTCTTGATAAGCATATTATAAAAGTCAATATCTAGCGGGATATTTTTTTCATCTGCCAATTTCATGAGAAGATTTTCAGCAGCTATTGTGTTTGGAATTAAATCCAGGAACATCGTAATGGTTTTAGCGCCTGGCTTAACACCGTCGGCGGCCATTCGACCTAAAAATCCTTCGATACCACCGAATAAGGTTAAACGATTGCTCATGAACACATCGTTTAAGTGTATTGACGCTGCCTGTGGGAGGTTCTGCTCATTTGCTCTGATGAGGGAGTTTTCCGTAACATTGCCTTGCTTCGGTTCCATTAATAGCAATAACGTGCTCACAAAGGGCGGTGATGCCAACAAATCCGGCTTCTCTCCTTCCTTCAATAAGATCCTAGTCGCCTCGTAGTTTGGAAGAAGGACATCGTTGACCTTCGTATCCCCCAGTTTGCAATCTCTGATCGTTCGCAGAAAAAGATCATACATAATCAAAGTGCGCCTGACCTTCCACTTACACATTAAATGCCATATCGTCAAAGCATGTCGAAGACCATTCTCTTTATCGGCAATTGCAGCGTGAAATAGCGAATTGAAAGTGATCTCTCCTATTTCGATACGATTGTCCATCATCTCATCCACCAATCGAAACGCTTCGCCGATCTGACTATGCCAGGCGTATGCCTTCACCATGACATTGTAGTGCACCTGATTCAGCGGAAATTGCTTCTGGTACAGTGACTGTCGTAGATTGTTTAAATGCTCCAAAGCTAATTCCTTGTTGTCCGACGTGGCGCACGCGTTGAATAGAGAGGTGTAAGTCGCTGCGTTTGGCGTAAGAGCACGCTTTTTTGCTTTATTATATAGACTAAAGCATTTCTTTATATCACCCTGCATGGAGAGAGCTCGTATCAGAAGATTGTACATATACATCGTAGGTTTGTCTCGGTTTTCCTTTATCAGATCGAATACTTTCAGAGCAGAATTTATGTCATTCTTTTTCAAATGCGACTTAATCATGCGCCCATAGTTGCCTGGACTAGGTTTCAATCGACGTGGGACGCAAGCCTCAGTATCCTCAAACTTTTCCTGCTCTTCTTCAAACTTATCCATTTCAACATACTCGAATTTTCTGCCTGAGATGTCTCCGAAAACATTGGCGTTCTTAGGAAGTTCTTTCGTGCAGAAACTGACCACTGGAGGCTGCAATCTGGGCTGCAAGTACCCATTCTTGGCTTCATCACAACAATGAGATACGAGAGCTTAAAAGAGAAACATTGTTTAATTTTATTCACATCGTTGAAACCTTTGAGCTTAGAAAATTGTGGACAGGAATGAAGGCAGAATATTATTAATACCAAGTACTTGTTATTTCTTATTTACTTACGTTGTTTTCCGCAAATAATGCGATTTAATTCGTTGACATAACCTACTGTATTTCTTAACTTGAGTGCTGAGCAAAGTTTTCGACAAATCATTTTGTAATTACTGATAGGCACATTGGGAAACTTGCTTTAAATTGAATATTCGCATTTATTTTCAATAAGAAATGCCAAATCAAAACGAAGTTAGCAGTACTCCGGAATACTCAAAATACAACACATGCTGAATTCAAGCTTGATATACAATACGTCGGATGACGAAACGCAGCCGATGGTCCAATGAGGTGAGTCGAAAACATTTATTCTCTCATTGGATCATCGGCTGCGTTCTGACACCCGACAGCGACATACGACGTATTGTGTGTCAGACCTGAATCTTCTATGAAGCCGTTTCTCCGTGATCGCAGCGTCGCAAAGCTGTTCTACTTGTCGTCGTGTTTGCCTTAGTTACTGGCACGAAATAAGGTTATGTTTGATCTGTTTGGTTAACTCAGTTTGGAAAACTACGAGTTGTGAATGTAACAAAGGTATGGAACGTTTTAAACTATAATTTCTTTTTCTATAAAAATAAACCGTCAGCAATTGATAACATAATATAGCGAGTGAAATCCTCACAATAGCCTTATTCCTGGACAGCTCCAGTCTAGAATTTGTCTCGTTTCGTCGTACGTCAAGTAACTTCGCGAAATGCCACACGACAAGAAAACCACACGTCGTAGTCGATCTCGCGACCGTGATCGTGAACGTGAGCGTGATCGTGAGCGACGTGACCGTCGACGCAGCAGAAGCCGGTCGAAGGACCGCAAGAAAGATAGGAAGCGATCCAGGTCGAGGGAGCGATCTCGAGAGCGAGATAGATCGCGCGAGCGTGACCGATCACGAGAGAGGGATCGCGATCGTTCGAGGGAACGTAGGGACCCCAAGGACAGGTCCAAAGACGACAAGAAACGAAAGACGAGTCCTGTGCTTGCCAATGAGGATGATTCAAAGAAGGACATAAAGAACGACGTCAAGAAAGACGAGGATGAAACAGAGGATAAGACCAAGTCGGTGCCGAAAAAAGAACCGTTGAGTTTGGAGGAGCTACTATCTAAAAAGAAGGCAGAGGAGGAAGCTCGGGCTAAACCTAAGTTCCTCAGCAAGGAAAAACGTGCTGCTTTGGCATTGGAAAAACGTCAACAGGAAGTAGATGCGATAAGGAAACAACAGGAGGAAGAACGCAAGTCTCTGTTTCACAACGACAACAATATTAACAAAGAGAGAGAATGGGACGATAGAGACAGGTATTTCATTCGTATGCTTCTATTTGTTGATATGGTTATGAGTGGGACTTTGAAACTTGATTCAGATTTTAAAGATTGTATTCAGTTCTGAAAGAAAAATATTCCGTGATAGGAGAAGAGAGACACGTTCACGCGAGGACGAGATTAAAGACAAGGATAAGGAGAAAGAAGTAGAGGCTATCAAGGAACGATATCTAGGTCTGGTGAAAAAGAAGCGTCGAGTCAGAAGGCTGAATGACCGTAAGTTTGTTTTTGACTGGGACACTTCGGAGGATACTTCTGTGGATTACAACAGCATTTATAAGGAACGGCACCAGGTGCAGTTCTTCGGCAGAGGTAATCTGGCCGGTATCGACATTAAGGCGCAGAAACGAGATCAGAGCAAGTTCTACGGTGAATTACTGGAGAAGAGGCGTACAGAGGCTGAGAAGGAGCAAGAAAAGTAAGTTTTGTCAGCGAACAATTAATCATAGTAAAAATATCGAACTTGGTGAGAAAAAGATAACTCTCATATCTTTAACTCAAATACTTATAACAGTTTTTCTTTTTCTTTGTAATATAAAACGTTTGACTATTCTTAGGCGTTAAGAGCTATATCTGTACTTACATTGGGATATGAAAGATGTCTTTGTTTTTGTATCTTCAAGGATGAGATTGAAGAAAGTGAAGCGGAAAGAGGAGAAGCAAAAGTGGGATGACCGGCATTGGTCTGAGAAGGCACTGAATGAGATGACTGAGCGCGACTGGCGTATCTTCCGTGAAGATTATAACATCACGATAAAGGGCGGCCGCATTCCCGACCCTATTCGATCTTGGAAGGAGTCAGGCTTCCCCAAAGAGATCCTGGACATCATCGACAAAGTCGGCTACAAGGATCTCACTCCCATTCAGCGGCAGGCGATTCCCATCGGTCTGCAGAATCGCGACATCATTGGCGTCGCCGAGACCGGTTCGGGTAAAACTCTGGCGTTCCTGATTCCGTTGCTACTGTGGATCACCAGCCTGCCAAAAATCGAGAGGCTCGAGGAGGCCGATCAAGGACCCTACAGTATCATTTTAGCACCTACACGGTACCGATTGCTTTCCTCGATTTTTCCTCCTGAAATTTCCTCAATATTTATCTTCCGTGTACTTTGCAGTGAATTGGCACAACAGATAGAAGAAGAAACCAACAAATTCGGACAGCCATTGGGTATTCGGACCGTCGTGGTAGTAGGTGGTCTCTCCAGAGAAGAGCAAGGTTTCAGATTGAGGATGGGTTGTGAGGTATGTCCCCCGCCACTTGATTATGAGCAACTGATTTCACTAACTTTTCTTTCCGCAAACTGGATAACGCTTGAGATCCAACTCGATCTGACGGATTCAAGGTATCGAGTTAACTATTTCATTTTCTAGATTGTCATCGCTACACCCGGACGCTTGATAGACGTTTTGGAAAATCGATATCTCGTGTTGAATCAATGTACATACATTGTGCTGGACGAGGCTGACAGAATGATAGACATGGGTTTCGAGCCAGGTATGTAAGTCAAGGACTTTTAACAGATTCCTCGGATTCTACAATTACCATATAATATAAAAATATTTTTTAAAATATTGTAAAAAATATTTTTCCAGACGTTCAGAAAATTTTGGAATACATGCCTGTGACGAATCTAAAACCGGACAACGAGGACGCGGAGAATGAGGAGAAACTCCTGGCTAACTACAACACGAAGAAGAAGTACAGACAAGTAAGAGAAATTTCCAAACTAATTGCACTTTCTTCGTCTTTTCGTATCATTCAAATTTCATTTAGTTACATCCAATTTTATCCATTAAAATCGCAAGTAAATGTCTTAATACCTATAGCTATGCTTTCTAGACAGTGATGTTCACTGCCACAATGCCTCCTGCTGTGGAGCGACTAGCTAGAACTTATCTGAGGAGACCGGCGGTCGTGTACATCGGCAGCGTTGGCAAGCCTACCGAGCGTACCGAGCAGATAGTTCATATCATGGGCGAAGCCGACAAACGCAAGAAACTGATGGAGATACTCAGCAGAGGTGTCGAGCCACCTGTCATCATATTCGTTAATCAGAAGAAGGGTGCGGACGTCTTGGCGAGAGGCTTGGAGAAGTTAGGAGTATGTACTTGGCTCTCTCTTTCGTTTTTTTTAACTCACTCGAGTACTCGTAATTCTCTTGGATTAGAAAGCTGCAAAGACGATTTGACGGACAAAACTGTTGACGGTCGTCTAATGTGTCCTTTCATTTTAGTACAACGCCTGCACTCTGCACGGTGGCAAAGGTCAGGAGCAGCGTGAGTACGCCCTGGCGTCGCTCAAGAGCGGTAGCAAAGACATTCTGGTGGCCACTGACGTTGCTGGACGTGGTATCGACATCAAGGATGTGTCGATGGTCATCAACTATGACATGGCTAAGACTATCGAAGGTGATCACTTATACTATACACTTTTCGTATTTATTCTTATGCAATTGTTGATATCAGAAATCGAGCCGTTTAGTAAAAGTAGAGATCCATTAAAATTTACGATTCTAATCTGTAATTATCATCACAAAGCACAGAGTTAGTCACTCTTCGCGAGAGATTTTCCTCAAGTAGAAATCAGCTGCACGATTTATTTTAACTGTTTTTTTTTCCGTCATTTTTTTCAGACTACACTCACAGGATCGGTCGAACCGGTCGTGCCGGCAAAGCCGGTCTTGCCATTTCCTTCTGCACGAAGGATGACAGCCACTTGTTCTACGATCTTAAGCAAACCATCCTCGCCAGTCCGATATCTACGTGTCCACCAGAGCTTCTCAACCATCCTGATGCACAACACAAGCCTGGTACGGTAGTCACGAAGAAACGACGGGAAGAGAAGATATTCGCTTGAATCTTCTCGACACTAGGCAAGTTTCGGGCCCAATTCACTTGTGCATCAAATATTAGAAGCTTCAAGAGACAGGAAAGGACAATTTCGTTGATACGAATGATCGATATTATACGAATGATACGATTTTTAGTTGGTAAATTGTAAAACCAGTCCGGATATTCATTGACGTTACAAGATCTTTGCTAAACAAAGGCATCAAATTGGATAATGGACAAGTTCTTTTATTTCGAAATTTTGTTGTTTACGTACAGCGCAGAATTTCAAGATCTCGACTAATTTTGATCTTTTAGAGGAGATACTTTGAATTCTTTAGACACCAGGCCCGGCAGTTTATACATAACGAAAGTCAATGTCGCAAACATTAACGATGTAAATAATTATTTACAATGTGATTATAATAATAAAATTATACAGGAAAAAAATTATACACAAATGATGACACGGGCGATATGTCATTTTTATGAGAAGTAACGATCTCTATCATTTCTACGGAAGTGGCGCGGATGGTGTAACGTAGTTGCCGTCGACCTTGCATTCTTCCTCCCAATTGTCTGGTGTTACCGGCTTAAGTATCTCAACAAATTGGTCGAGAGGACACACAGTGGTACATCCAGGTATCGTCAACGGGTACGGCTCGTGGGCTGTCGTATTCCGTAGAAATATCTACACGAGTATTCAAGGGTCGATCACTCACGATTTTACCGGAGAAGTCGATAATTTCGCCGATGGAAAATCGAACCGAAGAATTAGCCGGCAAATCCGTCATTGAAATCGCAAGGTGCGGAACGTTCGATATTAGTGACTGCACCACTTAGAAAATTGATCGAGGAAGCCTGAATCGCTTACCTGAACGTTCCATTCATATTCGTCTTCGTGCAGTTCTATCATAATCATGATGTTATAATGCGGTAATTGATTGTGCCAAATGTATATAGTATTCAACAAATCGACGACAGTGTTATCGTGGCCAACGAACATGAACATCTTCCTCTCCTCAGGCCGCAGAGTGCCCTCTCTCTTTGCCAACATGTCGTCGATGATCTTTTTCACCATGGGACCGCCCTTCAATCTGCGGAAGTCATCGTTGTGTGTGTTAAATTGCAGTGAGTACAAGGTCAGAGGTATTAGCTTATCAGGATAATAATCCATCGTCCACTCCGGCTGAGACAAGTTCATTCCTTTCTGTAACAGTAATATAATTGCACAACTAACGACTAACAAATTGAAAAGAGCTTGTGAAACTACAATCACGGAATTGGCTATTATTTAGGTTGACAGTGTGGTTCGTATATATTTTTAAAAAGACTGAAATGCACTAACAGGTGAATAGTAATTATAAAATGTGTAGTAGAATTTGTATAATTATTAGTATAATTGAAATTACTTATATAAATGACTAGAACTTAATCAGAGCACAATCAAAGAAATGAGCTAGATCGATGACGATTCCGATAACGATTTCAAGTGCTATCCTGTACAAACCTCCGCTGCCAAAGTGGCGTAGAGCGAACTAACACCGTCGGCATCCGTAATTGGCATGCCCGTTAAAGCCGTGAGCTCCTCGAACAATAGTTTATTATTCTCGTAAACTTTTCGGACTTCTGGCAAGTCGTTCACTGAGCTGCGTAGCTGGGTATACTTCGGACACGTGTTCCACACTAACATAAGCTGGAAGGTACACAGAATATTTACAATATTTCGGTAAAAAAGAAATCCCCCATCTCCACTCGTCGTAGCTATATCGAATCATGACATCAGAGACGATCGTCATAATACATGATTTATTCTCATGCAGTGATACATCTTCAACGATATCGGATCGTCTAGACAGATATGTTTATAGAAATGCTTTACCGTGTCTTCTGACTGTTTCTGGTAAAACAGCGTGACCGGCTGCCAAGGTAGATCGGATTTGAACAATTGTTCCTTGTTAGGCTTCCACAAACCGGCAGCCTCCAGCTGGGCTGACATTTTTGCACGATCCACAAAGGTGCTTTGTAAATGGAATATATTGGGACTGTAAGAGGGTCCCAGGAAATTGTTGTAACATTCTCGCAGAAACAGCCCTTGATTATATTGATTTCTTCTTCCTTCCTGTCTCAATTAATGGCGATTAAATTCGTCGTCACAAAGTGAACTCCGTTCGAGGAAAAGAAGGAAGCGAGATTTACATTTGTCAGTTGACCCCAGCCGTAAGGTTCCATGGGGTCCTTGATATAAGGATCGTTTGGATAGGTGTCGGCGGGTGCTCTATCGCCATGTCTCATTACCTACAAGCAGAAAGATTTCACACATCACGTGACGTTAATTTCGTTCCATGGAGTATAAATCAAACTCTTAGATTGCATTGTATGTAGGCGATAAACCGCAATGCAATTGTGACGTGGCTCGATAACGTGTAAAATATATACGTCCGATAAATGAGAGATTTTGTTTGACCAACTGATTTAACGATAAAAAAAATCTAGGTCGCTTTTTCTAAATAGGATTGAAGTAATGAAAATACGTACAGAGGATTGTTTATTCCCCTGATAACGTTAATGTCGACGCAAATACAATTTAACCGTTCGTCCGACTTTACAATAGGAGTCACTGGCTTTGAAGATAATGACTATGAGGCGGTATGAATTGATGAGACGTGATGGGAGAGGTGCTCGGATCTTGTTTAGGTCTCTTTTCTTTGCCTGCTAAAAATATACACACACCAATCTTATTTGACATTAATCAATATTGAGGGAAAATTTATGAAGAATTGAATCGATCCAGAGCAAAAATTATCTCACTGTAAATAGTTAAAAGTGCTGATATAACTTATCCTTAACGTGGGAATAAATATTAATTTTAATGTGGAATGACCTTAAGGAATACCTTATGACGATACATGTATGTATATTAATCACAATTAAAGAATATTAAATTAGAAAAGTGAAATAAAACCGGAGTTAAGTGTTTAAGTATGAAGAAAAAAAAATAAAACGAAGTCCCAATGACAGAAACATACATTGGCCCGTATTCTGAACGCGCTTATTTAACGATGTTAGCGCGCCAACGAGTTAACTTATCAACAATGAGTAGACATTTTGCTATAAATAAGCAAAATTATCGATTTTTTCTAACATAATATTGTTGTTATTACGTTTACAATGTAAGCGATACTGACAATACTGATATCTCTTGACTTTAGTGTTAGCTATGACGTATTTTACATACATTAGCGCGCTAACATCGTTATAACCGCGTTTTAAATACGAGCCATTGTGTACATTACATATGAGAAAAATATCATTTATCTTGAAATCATACTGGCACTTAGCTCCGTTCTCGTTTCTTAATTATCTGTGAAAGTTTCGTCAGTCTCCAGATACCAAAGATACCGATGAAACTTTTATAAGAATCTAATACATGTATATACCACTGTGACAAGCCGCAAAGTGTCCTTTTTCGTTTCACGCTTTGCCGGGTCTTTTTTTTCCGTAACCTCGGAGGACAGTGGCATTCCTAAAACGCGAAGATTCTAATTATCAAAAAAAAAAAAAACGAAATTATTGTGAAGGCACGAGGAAAATAATAATAAAATAATATTAATATAAGCTCCATTCACTACACACCGTTCAAATATACAATCATCGAGTGGAAATCGCGCGAGACACACGCATTACGCATCGCCGCGATTAACTATATAAAACCGCATCTCATTAACAACCGGTCTAACATCGGTTTGTGGAAAAATATTGCCGGAATGAACTCGATAGAAATGCCAAGTTAACACAGTTCTTGGAAAAAGAAAGAAGAGAGAGCGTTTACCTAACGCCACTGTGAGCAGCGCGAGCAGACGCAGAGCCGGAAGGATCATTTCGAATTAATCGCGGACCAGGAAGATCGATTGGCTCGCAAATAGAGCGGCATTAACTGGAGAGAGCACGTGGAGATGTGTACGCGATCATGTACTGAGAGACTCCGCAACACGTGCGCACAGATAAAGTCGCGCATCCCCACTCTGCAAAAAAAGCGACTCGTATTAAGTATTTGCAAAAGTTCCTCGATGTTTATTGTAACGCGTATTATCGTCGGTATGAGGTCGCTTGACAAATTAAAACTTATCACAAGAATTTTCCTCATCTTTGCCTCTCTCTCTCTCTCTCTCTCCCCCCTTGTTTTCCTCTCACAGTTTTTCTCTGCGTTTTCCTCGTAACAAAGCTATCTGTAGGCTGTGCAGGCGCTTTAATAATTGCTGCTGTAATTTCACGTTACGCAAAAGAAAACAATTATGCAACGACGTACAGAGTATCGCAACACCGTGTATATTGAAAAAAAAAAGACTCGGTAAATGTGTCAGTGATTTGAACTCCGGAACAACGGGGAATCACAATGCAGATGCAACGCGAAATTACTTGGATATTTTTCTTTTTTTTCAATTGTCTTAATTTTTCACAGCAGGTTTTATCGTTCTTACGTCATTTCATACGTCATGCGAGCGTTCGTCTTAATCTGCAAAACAATTCCTAATCCTGTCAGAGATTCACGTGATTACGTATGACAAGCGTGTCCTCGTGAGAAGCGAAGCTGCAAGAGCGAAGACAAGTGATAACACAGAAGGAGAATTTGTTCACTTGGAGCGCGAAACACACGGCATTTAACGTACGAAAAGAATTTCTATGATGTAAAAGTGGCATGTTGTGTGTATACTCCGGATTGCTGTTATCGTGGAATGTGCAGCTGAATAAATTGCGAGCTTGGCAATGACGACGATGTCCATGAAAAAAAAAATAATAAAAACATCGACTCGATAACAACTGAACGTTGCGTATGTAATATCACCTAGGATTAAATACCATAACTGGATAAAACGTCAGATACTTAGCGAGCGAACCTGCCTTGTAAAAAGCAACTTCGTTTTATAATACATATTCGATTTTCGATGGAATATCTACCGCGATTCGAATCGTCAAGTGAAGATCGATAAATCGGAGGATCAACGTTGGCCGCGAGGGCACCGTCAGACCATCAGTTGTCTTTTGGCGAATCACCAGGACAACGAGGAACGAGAAAGCGAGACGCTTGCTTGTTGGCACGACGTAGGCCTGTCGTCGTGTCAGTTTCCGTTTTATACCGAGGCTCCATGCGAGCGAATAGTCGCGGCGCTGAGACGCGCGTTCTCGTCCCCCGGGAGCCCGAAATCGCTTCAGCCGTGGATCACGCAGGCGAGGCTGGCCAAGCGGCGGTCACTAAGCACCGGAAGTCCCGGCGCAAGAAACCAAGGAACGCCGCCGGCGATACCAAAGTGCGTTTCCACGCAAACTTTCCTCCCGTTTGCTATTTCATCTGCAATGAGTCGTTATCATTTCCACCGGGATCTAAGTTAGAAGCTCGGATATTTTTTAACTTTAAGATCGATTCCTCTCGAAATTGAATTCTTGAAGAGGAACGTTAAAAGGTTCTCGCTGCGGTCGTTTTGTTCGATGATGTCAGAAGCGAGAAAATGCACGTTCAAAATTCTTCGAATCACGAGTGTCATCTCGCAAACGTATTCTTTTGATTCATCGTATTTCGCGCGAATTTTGGGCTTGTTTCCTTGCTTTTGAAAGCCATTGACAAAGATGGCTGCAATGAAGAAGAAACTTTAATTGGCCTTGTTTATACTTCGACTATTTTTATATTTTTCGAGGTGAAAGGAATGACGAATGTATGCGCTGAATTCCGGAAAGAAATACACAAGTCTTTCGTCCTGCCGGCGATGACGACGACACCATCGTACTCGATGACAACAATACCGAATCAAACCAGTTCAACTACAGCCATGCGACCCCGATCTCTCTATACCGCGCATAATTATCATCCTCAACCAGAAGATGCCAACTTTCAAGTACCATGTCTTAAACTTTATCTTCTGACACTAATTTATTTTTATCTTATTTTAAACCTGGAGGAGACAGTTTTACAACCAGTTTACGCAAACACTAAGATAACGACACAATAAAAAAAAAATTCAAGTAGATACTTGAGAAAGATAGCTTCAAACTCCTCACATTAGTTTGAGGGATAAACATCAGTCAAGATATAGGAAGTCGTAAAAAGTGAACACGTGTGACTCATGAGTCATACATTCATTTTTCATAATATTCATAACATGCATAATATTCTAAAATTTTAAATACTGTAACAAGTGGTGTAGCACTTCAAAGTTTCGTGTTTCTTGCGCTCTAATATTTATATAATTTCCTACGAATAAAAATGTACGGATAAAAAAACTCTATTAATGCGCGCAACGCACACATACGCGCATATAATTACAATTACAAAGTACGGGAAGGATATTGAAAACGTTAAAATCGTAAAATTGTATGGAATTTCTGAAAGGCGTTGAATACATATATCCGTTGCTATTTGTACGATATAAGTAGAGATTCGTTATCGCGTTACTTTGTATCTGTGACGACTGACCTTTCTTCTCTCCGAACGATCTTGTCAGCGATACGGCGAGCTGTCCAAATACTTCGAACCTCCGGCGGACCAATGGAGCGGTCTGGGTGGCACAGCGACTTCGGCGTATTCGGGGTCAGCTGCGATCTGGCGGCAGGCCAGGAAGTCGATCGCGGGCGGGCCTTATTATGCGACCGAGGAGGCCTCCATCTACACGGAGAATTGGAGGGAGCATGACGCCGCTGACGCCAGCGTGGGCGGCGTCGTTGCAACCCCCCACGGCACCATATCTTTACGACTGCACAACAGGATACGCGTAGACCTGACCGTCGACCGTGCCGTTAGGGTCATCAACTTCAAGGTGATCCTCTGCAAAGAGACATTTCGTAATATCAACGTGGAGAATCTCCCTCGTGGAGGGAGTACGCGAGATATCGCTATGCAAATCGATCGAATTTAAATGTAAGTCTCGTATCTCGTAGAATAACATAGTCCTGTCGCTGAGTGGCCGCGGAGCGGACGCGGCCTTGCTGCATCCGAACGGTAGGATATATCAATACGGGTCACGGGTGGAGATCGTCGCGCACGACAGTCACGGCAACAACAAGTTAGTCCTTTAGATTCTCCCGGCGCTCTCTCGAGCAATTCGCGTTCATTTCGACCGACTTGCTTTTTCCCTTCCCCCCTCCCCCAGGTACGCGAAGATGTGGTACAAGGGGGTCAGTTTCACGTCGGAGCAGTGCGCGCTCGTTTACCTCGTAGACACGGCTGGGACCAGGACCACCACAGATTCCTTCTCGGACATGAGCCAGGTTTTCAGATTAACACGTGCTCTCAAACTAGGACTGTAAATCCCGTCCGGATTTACCGATACTCGAGTGTTCGGTCGCTCGTATCTTTCGACTTTTCGCATGATCGTACGGATCCTTTCAATGGGAAACTTAACGAAATATTTCCCGATCGAGCGATCAGGTGGAAAAACGCCTTTGACTTGCGCTAGACTTACCGCGGACTTTGAACTCGCAGGACTTCTCGCTGAACGTCTTCTACACGGGCTCCCGTCACGGACCGGCGTGGCTGCAGGAAGCCGCGGCGCATCTCAGTACGGCTGAGTACTGGCAAACGGAGGAAGGAGTTGAGAATTGGATTATCAACAACGTCAGAGTGTCCCAAACTCCCGACGGTCTCGTTAGGTCCGTGTATTCGCGTTTCGCTCCTTATTATTTCTAGAAATTTCCGAATCAAAGATCAATCAAACGGTATCATTGATGAGTGAAAGCCCGACGAAAGAAAAACGGATCAGCATTTTCCAAGTTCCGAGACATTTTTAACGGTATATGAGTGGACAACACTTACGTCCTTTCGCGTTGAGAGAAATTGCGATATGAAGTTATAGTACTGAAAGATCCTCCGATTTCATCCACGATTCGAACCATTTCAAATAAATCTGTCGTACAACAGGATTGCACGAAACAGCAACAAATACCAACTGCGCACATCGCCCAGCAACGGTACGGCGTCTTTGACGACGCCCTTCCTACACTGCACCGCTTCCTTGGGCCAAACGTCGCATCTGTTCGTGCGTCGTGGCGAACGTCGCATGCACTACGACGGCACCAGTTTTATCGTGAGGAACGCGGGGCACAGCGCCGGCTTCGACGACAATAACCAGTTGAAGGTGTATTAGAAGAGAGCCTCGTGGACTCAGTGATTCGTGATCGCTGGGGTTTCTTTTTGCCCTGCGAAAGAACATTGACGAACGATCAATGCTGGCGATATCACCGTAAGCGAATCTACGAGGCTCATTTCGAATGATATTCGAAGTCGGGGATCCTGTAGGATTTTGAAGGTCTTAAAAACTCGCTCACTTTCCGCGTGCGATCCTCTCAATTTGAGGTAATTTCAACAATCTCCCGCAGATCTGCGAGAGAAACAATGTCGATCACTGCTACCGTGTATTTGCGTGTTTCATAGAGAAGAAACTTGTCAAAAATGCGTAGCACAGTTTAGTGACTTGGAATGAAATTGAAGGGTTCAGTGTGAAACAGCAGATTACCTCATTTTTCTTTTTTTTTTTCAAAATTTGAAAGGATAAATCCAGCAAATGAGGTAACTGAATTGCTTTCTTGAAGAGTTCTTGAAGAAGTGAATTAAACCGCTGTTACATTGAACTTTAACTTGAACTTTAACACGTGCGTGTGTATCTGCGTTTGTGAATTTACTAGAATTTCATTGCTTTAGCAATTGAATTGAATTGCTCTGATGCTGATCTAGTGTGCCTCGATGAAAGATTCAGTCGAGTACAGCACTTTTTCACGCAAAATTAACATTTGATTATTATGATTCCCGTGGCACCGCATGTTTTTACAATAAAATATGAGATTTCTTATGAAAAACCATGTACATATATTTTTATATACTTTTTACTGTTAACATTTTTACCACCATTAACTATGATTTATCATTTTACAGTAGGACAGTTGTGAACCAAAATTTGACCCCACAAATTTCAGTTCAAAACTGTCGAATAAAAAAAAGATTACAATTTTCATTATCAATTGTTTTTCACCTATTATCGTTACTTTGAAGTTATAATCTCATGCGTCGTTCTCTAAAACAATAATAAACTTTCTTCACACACCTTCCAAAGGATCTGCACTAGTATCTGAATCAATTTCCATATGCACTTCTTCTTCGGAAGAATCTTCGGACTCCGATCTTAGCGCTGTTTCAAACGCACTACCAATCTTGGCCAGGATTAGTTTCTTCCGACGTTGGACGTTCCTGAAAAATTAATATTACAACGGATAAATTCTAGGCTAGGAAAACTCGCACAGTCATAGTTTACAACACAATAAGGAGATAAAAATAAATAATAAATGAATACTCAAAGCAACTGTGTTATACACATAAGAAAACTTATATACTATGTCAAAAAACTGGTGTTACTGTACGTACTTGTTTCTTCTAATCCATTTTTACACAAAGAAAATATGCAAAATTAGTTTTATTCTATATTATCTTTTCTATATAAATCCTAATATATATATACTATCACAGGATATTTTGACATTCTAGGAAAATTACTCACCGTTTTTTAATTTTTTGACTGCTCTGGTTATTAGATGTTGACATTAATACAGACAATGATGACGTTGGCGCTGACTCTGATGTTGACGCTAATGCTGCCTCTGATGTTGACGCTAATGCTGACGCTGGCATTAACGCTGGCGATTCATCATTATTATCCTCGCTAATATTTTGTGAAAATATTCTATTCTGAGATTGCATCGTACGAATGCTATCGATGATATTATCCGCCATATTTGCATCGTACAATTGCACACTGGAGATTTCCTGCTCACTGAGGAGAATATGCTTCTTCTCTGTGTATATCTTGCTTAAATGACTGATTGTCGAGAGCAACTTTCCTGGTGCTGCTAGTTCTTTAATCTTTGGCGATAAGCTATAATCCAACATAGATTGTGTCTTGCTCTTTTGGTAGTGCTTATTTATACCAAACTGTGAGTATAAATGCGAGAAAATTTTCTTATCAGATGGTTATGCAGAGTGTATTTCTTGATAAAATTGTATGTCAATAAATTATATGTTCAAAGTTAAGTCAGAAATTATTTGTTGTATTTATACATTATTGTTTTACTTATATACAATTTAATAATTACTGGCATTTCAATCAATAAAACTGCTGCAATTTAATATTAGTAGCTTGAAAAGTTAAGTAGCAGATACATACCTCACTGTCACTAAAGCAATGGATAAATGCACGATCGACAATTAGTTTACACAAAATATAGTTAGCATCGAGATACTGTTCCACCTTAATCTGCTGATGCAGATTCATTAAACATTCCCAATCTGAGAAGGTCATTCTAATCTTTAAATCATTTTTTTGCAGCATGTAATATACACTGTACATAAGATACAGAGCGCCAATACGTTCTTTCAGGCTCGATGCTTTGATCAGAAATTGCTTTGTTACATGGAGAGCATTTTCACAAAAGATTCTCAGGGTTACTTCAGAGGACTGGCAACTGCGAGTTTATAATTTTTATTAATTATTCCCTAGTAGACTTATAATATTTTAACATTTTGTATTAAATCTTAAAAAAGATCTTCGTGAAGAAGAACTTTATACTGTCTTGGTTCTTTCTTTCATATACAAAAGAGTTAAGTACTTACTCAAATATCAATGAGAACTGCATTTCTCTCCAAATCTCACAGAAGTTTTGAAAGTGAGTGTTGTAAGTTAACTCGAAACGTGTTAACAATGTCTGACAATCATACTGGAAGGCATTCATCAAACGTTTTCCTATTAATGAATATGAAAATATCATAACAATATAATTTCTTGTTAGAAACGTTGCAGTGTGTCTATGAGACACAAGGCACAATGTCACATACTTTATATCAGTAGTACATTTCAAATACCAACGATTACATACAATATACATTTACAGATTTTTGTAAAAATCTTAACGCTCGTTTCTGAGTGATTACTTACGCTGCGATTCCATGCTTTTATTCGACATGTCGTGCTGCTTAATTACGAATATCAAAAATGCTATTAATCAACAGTATTTGACCGTACTTAACCGGCTACTTTGCGGCACGAACGATAGGAACGATATGCACCGTATATTTTACACTATGATTTGCAAAATCATCGATGTTTCAAAGACATCTAGAGAAAATGTTAGGGACTCTAGAAATTCTCTATCCGACAGCCAATCGGCACATCCGACAAACTTGTCATACGACGCATCCTCAATGAGTAAATATCTAGCCTGTTCTTTTTAGTTGTACTATTGAAAAGAACTGACCAATCGACATTTCAAACACCCGATCTTTAAAGTTCGTATCAGAATGTGCATTGCGAATTGAGAAATGCAAGAAGTAAATTAGAATTCGACTAGTCAGATCAATTTTGCTCGATCCTGATTGGTCGAGTTTCAATTTCTCGACAGGGCTCCAGGGAACTGCGCAGTTCTACGCGCACGAAGCTCAAAAACGCTGAGAAGCCACCTTTACCTTCGAGCGGTCTGATTGGCGGAGCTAAGACCCAATCGAAGTGCGAGGCGGGCAGCAGCGCGCGGCGCCGCCGCGCCGTCACCGCGGACACGCTCAATAAACGGCGCTAGTGTCTGTCAAGTGTCACAGCCGTTCCCGTCGGCCGAACAGTGTTGCGAGACTCGAATCGGTGATTTAATTAGGAATAACGTACCACTTTTTTTTAGTAAAATTGTGAAACTTTAAGCAATAATGACCGACAAGAAAGGTAATTATACGACGTAATCACGCGCGTTACCGTTCAGTTGCGTGTAATGTACACCGACAGACCCCAGAGAGAGAGAGGGAAACATACACATACACATACATAGGCGCACATATACACCAGGAAACGCGCGTGCACGTATATACACGGGGGACATACTCTACACTACACACACATACACGTAATACACACGCGTGCGCTCGTTAAGATAAGCCGTGCCTCACCACTTGTCACTCGACGCGACTCACGGCCGTCACCCGAAGTGACGCCGCCGGCGTCGACGCGACTCCTGGTGCACACGATGCGACGCGGCGCGCCGTCGCTCGCTGCTCGCGCGCCGGAGCCCCGGGCGTCGGCACCCGGGCCGCTCCGAGTACCTGGCCCGAGTTGACAGGACAAATCAATACCGCGCATCGCGCTGGGAATACAAAATGGCCTCCGGAGACTCGCTCGTTCTCTTTCTCTCTTTTTCCCCCGCGACAAAAGAGAGAGAATTTCGTTACGTCTCATATCGGCCCGTGCGTCGAATTTGCAAATTGTCGCTCTCGCTGCCCCCCCTCTCCCCCTTCCTCTATATTCTCGTCAACTTTTTTTCGCCGAGTCTGCTTCGAATTCTCGTCGCAGTTATTCACCACCAAGGTCCTCGGCGGACTCTCGTGTATTCCCCGATTTCCCTCGCGAGATTGCGGATATTTTCCATGCGCTTATGTTTTTAAATCCTTCTAGGACCAACTGGACCATCGGATCTTGGAATCCTTATGCATTTCTACTCCCCATTTCTTTTCTACATATTCTGGAGAGTTCCAGTCTTTTGTAATTTTTGGTCCAACGTCTTGAGTCACCTCAAGTGACTCTCTCCAACCTCTTTTAAGTTACAAATATCTTTATCAAATATTTGAATCCTTTCAATCTCAATAATGATGCGACCTTGAATGCATTCTCATAGTCGTGTACTTAGTTTTCCTCCCCTTTCTTTGGTAAATATGTATGCAATGATGGAACTTGCGCTCCAATAATGCATACATATGTATACTTATAACATACATATTAATATTACTTTCTTGGAGTACAACAACTCACTGACTTGAAACACACAACAATGAACCTTTTCTCTGCGAACACACATGTTTGGTGTCGAAATACAAGTTTTGATTGAATCGTTCAGTGGAAATTCAAAGGATACGGAGCCACTCTGGTGTCTTTGTTTGTTTCTCGGTTGTACATACTCTCCGGAGGTCATCTCTTGGTATTACTCAGCCGTATTCTTACAGATGCAGGGGGCCGGTTACGAATGAGAATGCGCAAATGTCTCTGTGTGAAAAAGTCTGACAATAGAAGGGCTCGTAGAGCGTTTAACTGAGTATCACGTACGGTTTGGCAAACGGTTTTTCGCGCTACCTGATTACGATCGAATAGACACTGCGGGGTCAAAGCGACCGAGTTCACTTAAGTGTCTGACTGTACGCTCAAGCTGCTCCAGGTGTCACGGATCTGCTCAGTTACTATCTGCACAACACAGCAGAGCGCAGTAGATCCGAGACACCCGTGGAACAGCTCTGGCGAGTAAGAAAGAGAGGGTGAGAGAGGATGAGAGGGTGAGTGAGTGAGTGAGTGAGAGATAGAGAGAGAGAAAGAGAGAAAGTATATTCTTCCATGTAAGTGCCGTTAAGAGCAGTCGAGCTCTAGTGCGACGTTTCATTACCAAGTCTGTCCCCAAAGCAGGTGCTGCGCTCCTGCAGAGCGCAGTGTGTTAAGGATACGTAAAGCTTAGCCTGTTAATGGAGAGCCGATGCGCTCCTTAAACTCCATATAATACTGTTAGTAAGAACATGCGAAGACACTGTTATACTGCTGCGAATCTGCTACCATTTATTATACCTTTGGCGGTGTAGCAGCTTGAGCGGAGGGATAGTGCCTACAGTTTGGCTGTCAATATGTTTGCAGCGGACCATTACAAAGACGATTTGATCCCAGTCAGTAGGTGGAGCTCCGGAGACCGGCGCAGCCTAAGCCACGTATCTAATCTCACCTTACTCTATATATTACCTTAACTCACTACGTGTTTATACCAACATATATTACGTATATACACACATATATATATATTATATAAATATGTATACCACCTGAATATGTTGAGGCTACGTGGCAAGCCATCCCGGTCGCTTCTAAAGTCCACTGTCTCGTTGCTCGAGTGCATTTGCACCTGGCGAAGGCAAAGTGTAGAAGGTGAAGAGAATCTGCTAACGCTCAGAGGGATCTATGGGCCTGTATTGATAACTCGATTCCACACTTCCGGAACTGCTGCTTCGCAGATCCCACACTGGCCCATGCGTGATACGTAAAATTCAGCTCTGTTAGTCCCACATATTGACTGTATCGTTTAGCGTTTGGATCTCGGAGTCCCGAGACTTCGGGGAACCCATCTGAAATTTTGCATTCGCATAAGTGTTTATACTTCTGCTTCCTTAGACTTCCGTGAAAGCGAGTCCGTAGATCCTTCGTAGATTTCCGAATCGGCGACGCATAAATCGGAACGCGAAGCGTTACAGCTCGTGAAAGATGAGTAACAAGTTTCAACGGGATTAGAAGCGATCGCTGGCTTTTCTCTAGCCTCAATGTACGTAAAGATATAGAACGCACCAGGCGTCTCCCGATTCGAAACCGGAAACGCGCCACGCTCAAGTCGTGAGTCGCGTGACTTCCACGTGGCCGTGCTAAAGCTACCAGGTTCTCCGCGTGAAACTTCGCATCGTTTCGGGAAATTCCCTTCGAAAACGGTGACTTCGAACGGCATCGAACGATCGTTGGGAGAGAAAAAAACAACACGTTTCCTCGGAGAGGAAACGCAAGAGAAAAAAACACACGAAGCCAAAGCGCCAAATTTGAAATCGAAATATAAAAAAAAAACTATCGAACACACCGTGCGAAAACTTAACGCGGAGAAGGCGCGCGTGCGCAAGCGAGCGATTCGAATCGGTTTTCCCACTCTCGCGACCGCGAACGCCGTGTGACGCGTTCGCGCCGTTCGACCGGTCGCTTTTTGGGAATCGGAGACGCCGGTCGCTATATATCCAAATCAATATGGTCGTAAGATATTGATATGGGTGTAACAATATTTCGTACTGGAACTTCGTGGTATTGGCTGATTGCTTTACTCATTGTTCTTTTACTATCTTTCCTTTTTTTTTTTTTTCTTTATTATTCTATGCCCGACGTGTTCGCGCGCGCGCGGCCGCACGCTCGTGCACTCTATACAGTTGCGGGTCGATATATCTCATGTATTTCTGCTTCCGTGACGACATAAGTTTATCCTTGCTAATAACGGTAACGTGTCAAAAGGTAACTTTGCTGTCTAAGAATAAGATCGAGCAATACGGTGCAATTATGAATCCGTAAGATTTCTCGAATCAAAACGCACACCATTGTGCACGCGATGAAAGCAGATACTTTAACTTAGATCCGCCAAATAATATGTCGCTTTCTATTGATCTCATATGCTTACGCAAGAATAATCAGAGCGAGAAATCTTTTCTCCTAAACATCTTGAAGAATTCCTCATCGTTAACATATCAACGATTCGCGTCACATTCGATTTGATTCTCGATTTCCGTTCTAATTCTAATCTTTATTTTTTTTTAACGCAAATTACGACGATAACCAATTCGCAAATCGAGCTGTGCGCACGTGCACGCGCCAACACAGCGGCTAGACACGAATGCTGTATCTAAGCTCGGCATACTATTTTGACGATACTTTTACTTCATTAGGAACTTGCCAGCTCACTTTTAACAAATAGTGCATGTCGCTTCGAGCCACGCCACAAGTTTCCCGAACATCGTCGCGCTACACATAGATTTAATCGAGAAAAGAATAAGAACAAAAAGACAAGAAAGTTCCAAGTTGACGGAGTTAATCGACCGACTAGGGAAACTCGTGGCAGCACTCATTCTGCACGTAGTAGACACGTGATATAGAGAGACAGAAAGAGAGAGAGAGAGAGTGAGAGTGAGAGAGAAAGAGAGAGAGAAAGAGAAAGAGAGAAAAAAGAGACATCTCGACTTCCTCTTCCGACAATCGTAGTCGTAATCATAGGTCAATTCTTTGGTAGTTTGAGTTTACGGTAGTTTGAACGTCGTAGCGGTGGAAGCAGTGGAATCACACGAGACATAATCTCACTCATCGGCCGTGACTGCGGTTTGTCGCTCTCGCGCGCGCGTGGTTGACTTCAGAACGAAGGAAAAAAAAAAAGAGAGAAAGCGTGTGCACGTGTGCACGTATCATGTGTGTGCGTGTGTTGTATGTGTGTGTGTGAGAGAAGGAGAAATAAAGAACGCGCGCGAGAGCTGCGCAATCGCGGCTGGCGAAAATGCAAAAGTGACATTGCGTTCACCCTTTAGCATCCCAATAGTAAGTCTCAGTGCAAGTAAAACGAGCTTCAATTTTTCCATGAGTTGTTATACCTCGGTTCGCATGCTCGGAACGTTTTTTCCTCGGCGACGAGGGGTCTCGGTACGATCGTTCCGCAACTTCTGAAACGGAGAAAGAGACAAATTGATAGAACGTAAAAAAAGATAGGGAGAGAGAGAGAGAGAGGGAGAGAGAGAGAAAGAGACAGCGGAGAGAAATGGATTGAGGGAGAGATCGATGGAAGAGAGGACGGTCGTCCGGCGCCCCGCCGCCGTTGTTTCTACAATCGTGCATGTTTCTTTTCTTTCGATATACTGTTTTAGCCGGTTCTCACGATTTCGCCTTCCACATTGATTACTTCATTCGCATTCGATCCCTCCCGAACACCTACGCTCGGCTTGTATTTACTTACCGGTACCAACTTTGATCACGAAGGAAGGCGGGATCGAGCGAACTGATGTAATCGTGTTTTGAATCGTCGTGTTGTTGTGTGATCACCGTAGTTCCGTAGACGACCTTGATGTCGCTCTTCCCGGGAGACTCGTCGGCGTCGTCGCGCGAAATTTCCCTCTCGCCTATAAGTTACACGCTCCACGTGTATCTCGCGTGTTAATTAACATGTCGCGCACCCGTACTCTCGTGTGGACACGTCGCTCTCGTTTCGAATGCGCCGGATCGACATTCCCCCGTTGGGGAAATCGCGAGACGAGTTCTCCTGGCCACGACGAACTGCATGCGCATGATTGGCAAGATATGTTAATCGTGTATACTGTTAATAGTGAGCTTAAGCGAAGTAGCGTTCGTTCGATACGCTGGTCGATACTGGACGTGGGTGCCCTCGCGGCGATTATTTCGAAGATCACCGGAAGCGGGAGAGACGCCGGTGTTTACGTCTTGTCGCTCTCGTTGTCTTGTAGCCCTCGGGATCCGTTTGATATTTTCCAATCGCATAAATAGTGGACGAGACACTTCAGCTTGTAACACCAGTAGGCCACCGTCTCTGTAGATTAATTAGTAAGACGTGTTTCTTCGAATTATGTTCTCTTACACGATCGGACTTACGGAAATACCAAAAAATGATATAACGTATTCTTAGCTGTGGTTTCCCATATTGTCATCATAGAATTCGCGTATTCGAGACTTCCTGGCGATCCTTTTCTCGTTGCGCCTCCGGTGATCGTACTCGTTCCGAGGACACTTCCTGTTCCACGGAAGCATTTCGATGAGCTGCCGTCCGGTAGAAAGAAGAAAAAAATGTAGACGCACCCTTGGCCTCTCTCGTTGGCCAGCCATTTCACGTGGGTTGTCGAGTAGACTGAAACGAGCAAAAAAACGAGATCAGAATGGATCATGCTCTGAATAGCGTCGAACTGCTCATTGGGACAAATCGAAGAAGTCAGAGAGAGTGAGAGAGTGAGAGAGAAAGTGCGCGCGTGAGAGAGGGGGAGAGAGAGAGAGAGAGAGAAAGAGCGAGGGAGAGAGAGAGAGAGAGAGAGAGAGAGAGAGAGAAAGAAAGAGCGAAACGAAAGGGAGCTATGGACACTTTTCGACTTATCATTAAAGCCGTACTAGCATTAATTATTACAATCGGTTGTTACTGATTCGATAATTGTTTGCACCGTGGCACATTGATACATAACTTATTAATACACCGAAGGCTGCGCGAATGTGTGGACGGACCGGTGTCTAGGATGACGCGACGTCGATTCCCGAGAGAGAGGGAGAGAGAGAGAAAAAGAGAGAACGCGTGCGATGTTTCGAGCCGAGTTATTCTCGTCCGGATCCTCGAGCTTCCGGAATTTTTCCTTCCTTCGGTCAGCTTCTCATATGGTACAAAGCATGCCTGCGTGGATGCAAGTGTCTTTCCTTTCTCCGCATTCGACTTACACCTCGACCGGTAGCTGTGTTCGCACCTGGGTGAATCGAGAATGTAAAGTAGCTTCTGCATCATCATCGACACCATAAACTCTCGCGAGATCGCGCAATTTGTGGCGGAAACAGACGTGTGGGAAGCCGCGTTGGACCGCTCGTCACCGCCCGTTCGACCAGCCTTCGGTCATATCATGGACAATTTGGTGTGGGCTGACGTTTATGTTAGAGTATAACATGTCCATCCAGCGCCAGAGCAACCGCGCGCACGTCGCCAGGAGGACGAAAAATCCTCCTCCGCCTCGGAATTCGTTTTTTTCTTTGTGGCGGGCATATTTTCGTCCGTAATCTCCACCATTCTGAAATATGTATTTTTGTCTTTTAAACGGCTCTCGAAAGAGTTATTTCTTCAGTTGCTGAAGCGAGTAACTCGCAAAACGCACTGTGTTTCATTTTGCCATGTTTTACCTTTCATTTCCTTTCTTTCGAAAGTGATCTCTGGAGATTCAGGTTGTCGGCTTCTTTCGTTTTCGCGCACACTTTAGACAGTGTATATATGTACATTTATGTGAAAGCGCAAGAAAACCAAAGACTCGAAAGGGGATAATTGACCTCTCGACGGCGGCGACGCGCGGCGCATGGCGCGATTTAGATAATTAAAAGGACTAGAGAGAGAAAAGCAGGCGGCCGAGCGTCTCGCGGCGTCGCGACGCGGCCGGTCGCCGACGTTTACCTACTTACTTATTACACACGATTCCGAGGAACTTTTAATCATGTTTGACCTTTATCTCTGGATATTTGCAGAAATTTGTGGTTTGCTGAGTCTTGTCACGACTTTTTGAATGTGTGGAGCCCGATATGTATATATAGTCCACCGCTATATATGCATATATAAATATTACATATATATATCTATATATATATATATATACATAATCATCGTACCACTATACTCATTGTATAAATTACACATTCACCGCCCCGAGAGAGAAAGGGAGAAATGTAGAGAGTCTCCCTTCTCCTCGGTTCAACTTTGTGAGATCGCGCCCCGTCATCGGTTGACGATGACGAGGACGACGATGACAATAATGACGATGACGACGATGATAATGATAATGATGATAACGATAATGTAAACGATGATGCTGAGACCGACTGTCGTTCTCACATCGCGAGTCCTTCGATTACTTGGGCTTGTTTTAACATCACTCTTTGGAGCAACCGTTATCCTTCTTACTTCCTGGCTTTATTTTAGCTCTGTTTTGTCGTTTTTCTGTTCCTCGAACGCGGCCGAGTCTCGGGATTTGCGACGATCTGTCTATCGCTTAGATTCGCCTCTCTTATCCGTCACGTCCCACGCACGGTCGCATTCTCCAGGTAGATTGAGATTCGAGTTCATAGCTGCAACGAGAATGTAACGTTGAAATGTAACGTTGGGATACGACGGGTTGCGATCGATGAAGCGTATCGTATAAACGGATAAATTGTTAACACGTTGGTTGCTTGCAGAGTGCGGTCACGAATGAATGTCCCGAAGAGGATGCTGAAGATCCCGATATGCCCGACAAGCCGATGAATCCGTAACGATGCAGTTCCCAACTTCCCAAATCCTCTCGTCAATCCCTCTACACGATTCTCCCAGGATTACTAAATTCCATGCGTTTCACTTCTCTATTTTAGCAAAATAAAATTTCAACTATTAATAACCAAAATTTCCGTATCCACCTCACTTGAATTTCGTGCAAACGAATACATCAGATACTTACGAGACGCTCCTTTTCCAGATCCATCCGATTGTCCTAGTACCCAGCTTCCCAAGGAAAGACAGAGAGCACTCAGGCGACATCTCAAGATGTTAACAATTTATCTCGAAGATTTTTCTTATATTCGAGCGAGTATTTTGTCGTTGACGCCTCTCAGTTGACGCGCGGATCCCTCAGGCTCGACCTCTTAGACGAATGTATTTGGCTTCTACCTTGATTGCGTAACGCTATTTGCTTTGAGATCGGTTTCGTATTAAATCTTAGTTCTAGAAATAAAGGTTGCTCAGCGACGAATCGCTTTTCGAGAATAGCTAGCGACGAAAGTTTAGCGAAAGTTTCAGCGGAAAGATGAAAATCTTGAGTTTGTTAAAATCAATCGACCGTATTCGTTGAATTAATTAACTCTTTACAAATAGCGATCTCCAATCTCGGGGAAATCGATCGATACTTCGAATTATTCTCGAACGCGATTCGTCTCGGCCGCTCCTCGATCGTGGATCCATTCGTGTGGATAATTTCTTAGCGACCTCGAGATGGATCCTCGAGAGGATGTGATCCAGGGTGACCAACTCCTCCAAAAACCGAAGAACGTTGCAAAATCTAACATCTAAAATTGCTCAAACTCAGCCTTCAATTACCGGCCCATTCTTCTGTCGATTCCTTCAATTTGATCTATATTGAAAATCCTATGAACAAATATTAATCATTAGATTGTGTATTACAGAAGATTTTTAAACTACAATCATTCACTCGAGAAAATCTTCGTCTTATTTTGCTAACGGAATAAGACGATTGCGCACGTTTCTTTTTCCTCGTCTTTTACGATAACGAGACTTTAAACAGACGAATTATCAGAAGAGAGAACGTGATTACTAATACACCATAGTTATCTTGGAATACATAGGACGCATCGATAATTAATATATCGAACAAACCGAGTGTCGAGTCGACATTCTTTGATATTTCGTGTAGTTGGTCACCTTGTAAATGTTTTTACAAAGAAGCCTGTCTGCGCGCCAACGCGGTTCACGTTCCGGGCGGAATAAAAGCTCGGCGGCGGAAAGCCCGGGGGGGCGACAGACGGGCGTGATATCTTCGGTTATTTCTTTTCACCATTATTTAGTGACTAACATTGTTTGAGCTTTGAATAGTACCTTGATCAAAACGGTGTATGTCATGTGTAAGATATACTTGGGTGTGGGAGTACCACTCTGGGGATCGGTGGTGCGTTGGACGATCTTTCTTCGTCGTGGCGGGTCAAAACGAGCGAATTATCGACGCGATTATCACGAAGCGGCTGTCTCGTATTTGAAAAAGGAAAGAAAAAACGATCTCGAGCGAAAAGCGATTTCCCGCGAACGATTACGCGCTGCATTGTGCGCTTTTCGAGTGGCACCACCGTCAAGTAGCGTTTGTGTGTTCTCTATACTGTTCCAAACGAGCTTACTAGCTTACTTTGATTAAAACCATGCTAAGAAGCTTGCCGAGGGCGCTTTAGAAGCGGAAGCTAAAAATCAAGGCGGTAACATTGAATGATTTTCTCACGTGGTTGAACACTAGGGAGCCTTTACAAGTATTCGTTCGGATCGCTTTTCGAGTCGCTTTTCGGATCGTCAGTGCCTCTGAGATATCGAGGGACGCTTATGCCGGAGAAAAAGATCCGCGGGAAAACCGCGCCGGAGGAGACGATCCAACCGCGCTGCCGACCCCGACGACGCGCTCCGCCGCGTTCGACGCGGACGAGGCGACGACTCGTCGTCGAGATCGACCCTTCGCCGCCGCGTCGGGACGCGGTCGGGGCGCGCCGGCACTCGTCCTTTCTGGCGGTGGTACCACGTACCATGTTGGCTTAGATCGAACACACACACACGCCATTTCGCGGCCTGCAGATTTGGTAGAGCTGCATCTCGCGTTGCCTTGTGTTGCAGCGTATCCGGTGGCACCGCATCCACCGACCGGCTTTGTCCCCGCGCCAACGCAGCCTCCGACCTACGGTGGTAAGGCCTCTCTGTCTCTTAGTACTATTTCCTCTATATAATAAAACCTCATCCGTGCGTGTGCCTCTCTTTTTTTTCTCTCTTTTTAACGCGAACTCCGTTGTCCCGTTTTTGACTTCACTTCTACGGTAAAGATCTCGGTCGACACACACATCGTATGATACTTAATGGTACATTGCATAAAAACACGGTAACATCGACGGCAATTGACGTGTATGAGATATCGCATAATAAATGCTGGTTTGTTTGTCGCCTAACGCGCTTGTCTTCTCGCTTTGAGAGCCGCGAGTTGTTCTTTGGTACGTCCGAAAGTCCCGACGGCTGTTGTCTTCGCATCTCGAGCGCAATAACATTGGTCGTTACAGTTGCAGGCGCCGCGCCCTACGGAGTGTTTCCCAATCAGCCGCAGCTATACGCGACACAAGGTCCGCCTCCGCCGACATACGATCAGACTCTTACGCATCCTATGGTGAGAGTCGCTTACTTCCGTGTTTTATTGTTAAGAACCAGAGCGTTGCGAGCAGCGCCGAACGATAGGATTTTCATCGGTAAATATCGATCCGCTCTTAGATGTATCAACCGATGTATGGACAGGGATATCCTGGTGGATACTTGGCGGGCTATCCCACTGCGTACGGGCCACTGCAATATTATCCGCCGTTGGCTGCAGCAGCGGCGTATTATCCTGCGGCTGCTATGCAACCCGCTCCCGTAAGGCCCACTATCATGGTACCTGTAAGTATCAGTGTACGTCTTCTTTTTAAACTGTTGAAGAAAAAAAGGCACATATCTGACGCATATCAAGTAACCGACGCCAAACTTTGTCGAACAATACAAAATTGCTTTTGCTTTCTTTTTCTTTTTTTTATGCCTGCAGCGCCCTGTAGAAGCGATAAAAGTAGCACGAGGATAGCGAGAGTTTCCAAGCTCTCTCTCTCTCTCTCTCTCTCTCTTCCTTGAGCGATGCGAGACACTAATTTTGACGTTCGTTTCACAGAACGGGTTCGACGGTACTCGCTTCGACGGAATCTCGCAGCCAGTGCTGCCGCCACCACCGCCCGGGGTGGCCGCGAACGCCGCGCAATTGGCCGCGATGGCCGGCCACAGTGTGGCCCTATCGCAAAAGAAGGGCTCGTTCCTGGGAGGAGGAACAGAGGGCGGTTATACCTTTTGGTAAACCACCTACCACCTTTCGTAACACACACACACACACACATGACACGTAGACAGACTTATACATATACAGGGATACACACACCACACGTACACTGAAAAATATCCAACACACTAAGTCTGTCGGAGGCGCTGTGTCGAGACGACGAGATCATGTAGGCAAATTTCCGTTAGAGCTCTGCTTTCCTCGCCACTGCCGGAGGGCAGCTTGTCGATATTCATTATAGTATATACCGTGTGCGCGGACCGATCACATACCTATGCTCATACACACAACATACACATGGATACAAAGAGCGACACACACACACACATATACACGCCTACGCACACACATTTACACATGATACTAAGGCAGCAACCGTGAGAGCTCCCACGCGATTCACATACGGCGATATTTGCGATCGATAGAAGCGATCCAATGATCTCAAGGACACCGCCGCCGTCTTGGTGATCGATCTGCGCATCTCATGTACTGTTGAACTGCAGAGAATCGTCCCGGTCGAGGAAAACTCGGACACGACGCTCGTCGAACACCCCCGAAAGCTAATTCCTTGAATGCTCATCGTCCTGCGGGAAAGTTGGGAGAGCGACTCACTGCGTGAGAGTTTGCTGGATTGCAATCCCGAAAGCTCCGGAGCCAAAGGATCCGCGATACCGAAAAAAAAACGAATAAAATATCTGCTGGAATTCATGAATCCGAGGGAGTTCAACTAAATTCCGCGACTGAAACTTCGAAAAATCCGAACAACTGACATGCCTTTAGATTGCAAGCTCTAATTGAATTATTTGAAAGAATAAGGGAGCGTGTAATTGACGAGGGTACAAGTTTTCCAGGATTTAGGATATCGGAAAATCTAAAGAAAAGATGCCAATTAAATGATCTCACCTTTAATCATCGATCGAGTATTTTCAATGCGACGTAGAACGAAGAATCCATCATTAATAAGTTTCGGAGGATTCATGTTTTTAGCGACCCTTCTACTCCAAGGGTTCGCGGTATCGAAGGACCCGAAGGCTCGAAGCAGCCGACGTGTATCTCCCAAGACAAAAGACGGTTATTACAAAAAAACGTTATTGTGAAAGACTAGTTCGATCAATGAGAGGCAGGTTGCCATTGACAAGGAACGACAATGTCGTTGCGCTTACGAAGGCAGGAAAAACGGAAGGATCAAGGATACGGAGAGATTAGGATTCAATCTCTCGACGATTGTAGGAGCTCACGGGACATATTGCGTTGATATTTATATTTAAGTTATTGTTATTTAAACAATTTATTTGCAGACCCCTTTTAGAAACAGAATCATCAGTGCGACGTGTTTCGATGATGGATTAATTTTGTATCTCGAGAGAGTGAAAGAGAGTGAGCGAAAGAGAGAGAGAGAGTGAGAGAAAGAAAGAGAGAGTGAGAGAGAGAGAGAGAGAGAGAGAGAGAGAGAGAGAGAGAGAGAGAGAGAGAGAGTAAGAAAATAGTGGAATGAGTTTTATATCATGGAAGTGTGCAATAAGCATAAATCTATTGTAACAATAAAGAAACGATATTAATTGAAACTGTGAACTTGTTATTACATTGAATGAGTGAAGGAGCGAAAGAGAGAGAGAGAGCGAAAAAAGAAGAGTGCGCGTGTATGAATGCGTGTGAGAGAGTGGGAGAGGAGAGAAAGAGAGAAAGAGAGCATGAGCGAGATAGAACAATGAATCGAGACGAAAATGTACCACTGCGATGATCAAGTGTACCAGTTAATAAATGCTATGGTCATGCAATTCGTTAATCGAAATTTGTTCTTTTTGGACGACAGATATGTAAAACTAAAGAGACTAGCGTCTTTGGTGTCTTTAGTTCGATTTTTTTTAAAGATAAGAAAAATATTTAAACAGGATAATAACGTTATATGTCCATTTTTCGGCGATCCCAGAACACCCTGTATGAGCACGTATCGATTACAATCGTCCGTATATAGGAAACGAAATTGTTTCGTTTGTCAAGAATAGTATTTATTATAAATTTTAAAACAATATTCTATAATTTAATCCTTTCCTCCCTTAATCCTTCCTTTTAATCCTTTTCCTTCCTCCAAGGCGCAGAATATTTTTGTTACACTAACTTAAATTACATATATTTTTGCGATTGCTGCTTGTATAATTTTCGAATTGAACTACTCTATAAAATAACCAAATACTTTTACGAGGTAAAAAATTTTTTTGGATTACGAAAATTTCCTTATCGTTTATGCGAGTTCACTTAGTTGCATGCAGACCTCTTTGTAAGTTCTCCTTTCTGCTGCGTGATTCGTACAACTTTTGGCATTTGATCCGGAGTTAATTCCAGTTTCAACAACGCGTCTAGATTCCCTATTTGATGTTGTGCCTTACGTAAACTCTGAAGAATTTAAATTTGAAAGGAACGTCATTCTCTTAATATATAGATTCTTACGTATATAATTCAACTTACCATTCGCAACTCACTGTCTACTTGCGGATCTGATTTTGCGAATTTCTTTTTGTGTGAAAATTCCTGCACAGTAAATCCGAGAAATTTCTCTAAAATCTGAAAAATTTCAATATCATTCACGTACGATTCACATTTATGTGTGAACAATTTCAAAATAGAAAAGGAGTCTCAAAGGCTTATCATCACGGTCAAAAACCAGGACCCTCCAAGTATTGTTTTCCTTTTCACTTCTCTGCATACCTCAGAATCGAAGCAGACTTCTACGCTGGAAGTATGGTCCGTGATCAGTGCAGTCAACGCCCAGCATTTACCTTGCTTCGTTAACGTTGAGTGATTCTTCACTTTGCCCCTCACCATTCTGTATATCGTTCGCGTGACATTCTCGCGAAGCACGTCGCTCAGAACGTCGCAAATTTTTGGAGGAGGCGGAGGCGCAAAAAAATCGGAAATCGTCTTGGCTTTTGGTATTTCCTGAACGGTTCTCGAAGTGCTCGCCTTTGGCAAACGTATGAACTTATGTAAATGAGGGGCCAATAATTTTAGACAAAAAAATTGTCTCAAATGATATCGTAGTCTTCTCGATGTATAAAAGATGTCTATCTAAATATTATATACCACAGATATGTCTTTTCGCGCCGTCGAGACTCCCACGGAGGTACATTTCTCAACTTTCGTTTTGATGTCATCGTTCGTCAGTCTCGGCCCAGACGTTCGTAGAGAGGAACGCTTTCCAGTTTCACTCTTAAACTTGAAGGAATTTCTACCTTGTTCTTGACTGACCTGCGATTCTGTTATAATCTTGCAGTCATCAAAAGCGAAATCATCGTCGGGAAAATCTGTAACATCTTTTTTCTTAGAAGACTTCGTGGGCAACGATGATTTCATTCGAGAACTGCATGCAAAAGTTGACCTTTCCTCAACTATCGTTATATCATTATCTTCAAAACCGTCAATCTCCATCCGCGATGTTGGTAATGTTCGTATGGGTCTCACCGGGGGATCCTTGCTGGACCTGGAATAATCACTTGGACCAGTGTAAATAAAGAAAATAGAAAACACAATAACATAACTATTGCGAATCAATTTATATTAAGAGATAGAGTACCAATATGATTATATAATCAAATGAAAGGCAAGCAAATCCGTATACTAACCAATTCTCTAAGGGTTCAAAGTCGATGTCCTCCAAAAATTCTTCCGTCGTGTCGTTTCCGATTGCTTGAGTATTTTGTCTCTGCCCCCTAATATTTTCAGGTACGTAATCCTGATTCTGAATAGTTCTGACTGTTTCCTGGCTTTGCTGTTCAATCGCGGTCACTGCCTCCAAATCAACAGCTTCCTCGAAATCATCGTCGAAAAAACTGTTTTCATTTGTAGGATTTGTTGGAGTGTTTGAATTAATCTGATTTCTGAGCAGTCCATTGTCATGATATGGATCTGGGTTCTCTGGCTCATCTCTGAAAAAAAGAGTAAAATTGAATTCAATGAACTCAAGTTGTAAAGCAATAATGTATAAATTTCCTGAGGACAAAATATATTCACAGTTATTGAATGTACTTTACTATTTACAATGAAAGGAAGTTGAGAGAAAATTAATAAGAGAATGAGTCTTACAAAGCTCTAGCTAAAATATTCTCCAGTGCATTGGCTTTCAGCATAGATTCAACCTCTCCGCCAATCTCTCTGTATTTGCCATCTTCCAGCAAAATGATACCACGTCTACAATCAACTGGACCAATTATCATCACTTTGTAGCCAGGAAGTAGTATACTCTACAAGAAAGTTATAAATTAATATTGTCGAAATAATTGGAGCAGAATCAAATACTGAAATTCCAAGCTTCTGCTACAAAAAAGATATCATGTTAAAAAAAAAATCTTACTGCCATTTGCTTCATTGGAGTATATTCTATTGCAATAATATTCTGCACTCCATCTGTGAGACACCATTGCATCGTTCTTCTAGCTTTAGGCTCCCACTCAGTTTGTTTCTCTTTTTCTGTTACTTCTAAATTATCGCTATTGACTTTCCGAATTTGGCATAACTGCTTGTACTTGGAACTTGCTATGTCATACATCTTGTCTACCTATGTTTACATCGGACGATCTTGATGTATAATACTTGAATCCTCAAAGTAAGGAATGTGAAATAGCTAGATGTTTCTTGAAGCTCACCTGTAGAATATAAGTGCCAGTTAACACAATGCGCACTTGTTGCATCAGGTTTGTTGGAAGACACCCATTTTCACTGCTTATTTCTCGCAGGTCGCTCAATTGCCACTGACTCTCCACAAATTCTAAAATGTGTTTATCTGTTATCTGGAATAATAATTAACACATAACAACCGATATTAATTCTTGACTTGTAACAAACTGGAATTTCATTTACTATCCAATAGGTTTTTGCATTACGCAACTGTAATTTTCTATAAATTATACAGTGATTCACATTAATATTTGTAAATTATAGTATTTAACAAATAATTATTTTGTCTTTTTATATCTATTGTTGGATTAAAGATATACATTACTATTTTTTAAACTTAATTAATATCAATAAAAATAGTAAGGTGAACATAAATTGCAACGTACTTCATGAGGATTTTTGTCATTGAAAAAATATTCGACACAATCACTTAGCCATGTGTCGTTCATCACATAAAACTTTGCATTCAATTTGCTTTTTATCCGCTGCAATAGATTTCCGTTCATTCTCGTGCTTTCGCCTTTCTTTTTTTTCAATTACCAATTCGAACAATATCGACATATATTTCGCGCGTTTATATATTCATTTAACTCAATTTTTAATTAATCTGTCCTCTCATTGGATCATTGGTTGCGCTTTGAACTTAGCTGCGTCCAACCGTTTCGTTCCTCATTATAAAACTAAAAATCACTTTCTGACCAGATAAGCCTGTTCGTTTTAAGACCCTTTTCATCAACTTCGGCTAACCTAACCGACTGAATTACTGAAGGGAATTGACCAATCGTATTGGTCAATTAGCTGATTGGTCAATGCGGTTGATCAATTCCAATTTAGAATTTTTAGATCTAAAACTTGAAACGGGCATAAATCTAAGAAAAATGTTATTTACAAAAATATTTTATTTTTAAATTAAATATAATCGATTTTTGTAGGGAAAAACCCTATTTTTCTGGGGAGAAACCTTATTTCCCTAAAGAATCAATTAAGGTCGGTATTCACAGTCGGATCTTATATTTAAAACTATCTTAAGTTCATTTTCAGACAGTCATTTCACTGATTACGAAACATCTGAAGATGAATTTAACCGTTTGAGTGCCAAGGAGCGATTTTGCGCTTCTTCTGTTTCGCTCGAAAAGCACCAGCGTTCTAGGCTGCGAAGCCGATAACCGGCACACGCTCGGCTTCTGTCGATGCGCGACTTTACGGCTACCATTCCGTTTTAGGTAAAAATGAAATAATGAGACAACTGATAAAAGAACGAATTTTAATTGCAATCTAACATTTGGATGCAATCATCGGAGAATAAGACAAGCGCTATCGCGCCGTTTGGCATTCCTGGATGGGGAATAAGACAAGCGAAAAAGCGCTCCTTGGCACGTTTGGACGGGGAAACAACAGAGACACGTGGCACTCAACGGTTAAGATAGTTTTAAAAATAAAATTCGACTATGAATACTTATGTTCCATTTTATGTACGATTCCACTTTTGTTTCAATAATTCAGATCATGATTGGAGTACAGATAGGAACTACCATCCACAAAAGATGAAGAAGACTCGATAACTCTTGTTTAGAGGTATTTTATGATAAACAAAACGAATTTTAAATTGCTTAACAAACATTTTAGATTGCTTATCTATGATTCATCTAGTTCGTGGTTTTATGATTCCATAATTATTATCTCATTGAAGGATACGTCATTACTAAAAGAGATCTTATCAATCATTCGTCTTTAATCCTATTTACATTCTAAGAGGCGTCGAACAATATATTCTCAATATCTGTAAAGCATATATACGCATATTATAAGTATTTATATGTAATATTTATTATTAATATATGTGTAATATACAACTGACTTACAGCAAGAAACATTTCGCAAGTTGTAGTATTTCGCTATTAAACTAATATTAGTACAAAATTCGAACAAGTTAATCGCAAAATTAAAATTAGTCGATAGAGCTATACAGCATGTGTTTCGTGAGTAAGCATCTTGTAGTTTAAGTATATTAGTACAAAGTT